CAGGGAGTAACTACCTGAAAGTACTTTTTCCCTAAAGGTGTTTTCACCTTTTTATCGCTTACACCCAGTAGTTGGTTGTTGACCTTACTCAATAAATGTAAAATTTTCGAGTGTCCTATATTATTTCCCTTATGGTTCCAGCTGCCTTCACTAATTAATCTATAGCAGCTGGTTAGTGCTTTAACCTCAATGTGTAGAGGTGTAGTGTTTGTTATCACTTCCAAAGCTAGGGTTGGTGTAGTGGGAAAAGCTCCCGTCATCATCATACAACCTAGTCTTTGGAATGACCTTAGCTTGTTAATAGCCCCTTTGTTTTCTAGCCCATTCCACCAAACTAGGGCTGCAAATAGAAATCTTGGTAGTATGATCGCGGTGTATATCCATTTGGCCACCCATGGTTTAATACCCCATGTTCTACCAACGATTCTCCTACACTGCACCATGGATATAGTGCCTTTCCTATGTATATTTTTAATGTGGCCTTTCCAATCAAGTTTCCTATCTAGCGTTATCCCTAGGAACTTGATTGTATCCTTTAATTTTAATTCAATGCCCTGACATTTTGGGTTTTTAAAATTACCTATTGATCTTCTCCTGCTGAACATTATCAGTTCCAGTTTAGCAGGATTTATCGAAAGACCTTTGTCGCTACACCATCCGGTTAGCAACCCCATCGCCTCCTTCATCAGTAGTGATAGAGTCAGAGGGTCCTTACCCGTGATCATTATGGTACCATCGTCTGAATATAATTGGCTATAGAAGCCTGAGTTATTCAGAAGCTCTAATAAGCTGTTTACTGTGATTAACCACAATAGAGGAGATAAACAGCCTCCTTGTGGACAGCCTCCAGTGACCCTGATTCTCAGAGTACTGTTACCTAAGCACATATTTACCATCCGACCCTCTAGGTATGTTTTCACCCATCCTATGAGGTGTTGGTGAACGTTATATTTATTTAGTGCTGCTATAATGCATGAGGTATCTGCATTATCAAACGCTCCTTGGATATCAAAGAAGCATCCTAAGGTGTACTCATTATTGTATAATGATTTCTCAATCCTTCCTACAAGTGTATGCAGAGCAGTTTCCACTGATCTTCCTGGTAAATAGGCATGCTGATTAGGATGTATCAAGGTATTGATACCACAGTCATGTCTAATATATTTATCTAAAATTTTCTCTATTATTTTAATGAAAATAGAAGATATACTTATAGGTCTGTATGATTTAGGTAATTGATAAGAGACCTTACCTGGTTTGGGTAAGAAAATTACCCTTGTTTCCTTCCAGCGTTTTGGTATGTACCCCAACGCCAGACTACTCCTTAAGAGATCCCATACAGCACTGGATAAACCAGGTGTATCCTGTTGTAAGAGGGCAGGAAATATTCCATCCATCCCTGCAGCCTTGAACTTCTTGAAGGACCATACCACCCATTTGTATGCGTCCCAAGAGATCACTTCATATGCCTTCCTCCAATTCGGCATAGGTGTATTATTCATGGTTTGGGTGTCGGAGGAGCCTGAACTTGGGAAGTGGGCCCTTGCCATTAGGTTCAGTGTCTCCTCGCTTGTTGTGGAGTACACCCCGTTTTCGTCCTGCAATAGACCTAGTGGATTAATATAATCCTTTTCCAAAAGTTTAAAAATTCGAGCACTTTCCTTAATATTCTCTGTCTTCAGACAATATTCCCTCCAGGCCTTTCGTTTGGTTTTCCTCAACTCTTTTTTGTATTCTTTTTTCATGGAGAGATATTCTCTCCAAGACAGTTCAGAGTTCTCCTGCAGGGCTTTCTTGTGTAAGACTCTGACCCTTTTCCTCGCACTAGCCAGAGCTCTGTTCCACCAATGATGTCGATTCTGGCGTAGTATTTTTTCAGGGCATGCCTCCGTATATGCAGAGTTAATGACCTGTATGATTTTGTTAGCAGCCTGCTCCAGCTCTGTTATATTGGTAGGAGCAGGTGTACCTGTAATATTATTATTAATATTATTGATGTAGGAATCCCAATTTGTCTGTTTTTGATTCCTAAACCTTATTTTTCCAACTTCACCTGAGATCCAAAAATCTATTAAACAATGATCTGAGGAGATCTTACCTGGTGTCACCTTCCACCCCTTTACCCAATTGGCACAAGGCATGGTGGCTAGTGAGATATCCAAGACCTCCCTTCTATTTTTTGTTATAAATGTGGGAGTATTGCCTACATTCAGGATTGATAGATTTTTACTCACTGTAAGTTCCAGGAATGTATCACCTCTTGTATTATTATCTGAGCTGCCCCATGCTATGTTATGTGCATTTACATCACAGCCCAGTATAAGTCCTATATTATTATCCTCACAATATGTTGTGAGTTCCCTGACTATCTCGGTTGGACAGTCCTCATCGTGGGGTAGGTAGGCACTCGCTATGTAGAGGTTATGTCGACTACCCCTTCTCCTGAAATCAATAGAGATCGTTATGATATCCCTGGAACAAAATCTGGTTATGAGAATTGGTTTTAGTTCCTTGTGAGCCACAACAATTTTTTGGCAATTTACTAATAATATCTTTTTGGCAATTTGGCAATAAATTACTCAAGAATCACTCACTTCGGGTGTTGGTCAGACCTTGGACGTATCCATCCAGCGAGGTTGGGCTCCAGGGGCTATCAACAGCTAGGCCATATCAAAGCCTAACGCAATTACTTTATTTATTTATAATATAGGCTGTACAGGCAAGGCTGAAAAAAGAATAGTCATAAGCTTACAAAACACATAAAAAGTATAAGCTAAACTAAATAACATGAAAGTAACAAGGTATATACTAAAAACCAAAATACTAGAATGTTCATATGTAGAAAACACATAAGAACATTAATCATTGGAGATCTTTTATTTAAAGTATATAAAGCATCTGAGAACAGATCACAGTATGCAAGAATTTAGTTTCTCAGGGAGTCAATGCATATTGCTTTGCATAACCAGATGGTGCTCCACAAAAAAAAGTTTGAACCCCTCTCAAAAGACTTAAGAGAATCTCTGGAAAGAAGATATGTGGATTGAAAACATAACATGCGAAGGTAAGACAGGCAACCCGCTGTCTGACAATGATAGAAGCCTTTCAATATAGGCAAGTGATGCTGTTTTTAAAAAAAAATATTTATTTATTTATTTTATTGCCTTTTTGAAAATTTACAATAAATTACTGGCATGCCTCAAGAATCACCCACTTTGGGTTGTGGCAGTTTGAGGTTCAACTAGGTGGGACACCTTGGTGCGCCAAATCTAAATTAATTTGGACAGAGTCAACCAGATTAATCTTAGTCTTAAAAAATGGATCCCAGACACAAGCATACCCAAAATGACCGTGGTCCAATGATAAATATAACGTTTTAATAACAAAGCGGTCACTGAAGTCTGTACTAAAGCGGTTGACAAAACAGATATTCTTCAATGCCTTCCTTCTATTCTTGGGAAATGTGATCACAAAAATTACGTTACGGTTAAAAATGATGCCTAAGCCATTTATTTCATCTACACCCTTGTAAGGAAAGGGGCTGCCACACCGCTGATAGGACCTGAACCCTTCTTTGGCATAAGAATCCACACTATTAATGAATATCTCAGACAGAAGGACAAAAAAAAAGTGAAGGAACAATGGAATTCACTCATTGGACATAGACAATCCAAGAATCTTGTAACCAATTTTGGTAGGAAAGAAATCACAGAATGTGTCAAAGGAAGCAGGAACAGACTGCGAATCACAGGATTCCTAACAGGACACTGCAGAATAAATGGACACTTAAAGAAAATTGGAACAATCCAAGATGGTACATACAGATTCTGCAAAGAGGCAGAAGAGACACCAACACATTTACTAACAAACTGCGGAGCTACATTAGCCCGCAGGAGGAAATGTTTTGGGGTGTATAACGTGACCATAGAAGAGCTTCAACCACTGAAACCGGGCCTATTAATCAAATTTCTTGATGAAATAGGACTCACCGATGTGCTTTAGGTAGAGAACGGGGGATACAATAGCTCTTAAAGGGCGCAGTATACCATACCCTGAAAAAATAACATCTACATCTTTATTTCATCTAATTCATCGACGAGAAGACCACCTATATGAGACCATCTAATACCAAAACCATTTATTCACTCTCTCACTCAATCTTAAATATATTCTTTCTTATTTACATACTATTCGCCAGTATTCGACATTCTTCCATCACCCTTTACACCTATTCGTACCAATAAATACATTCACTCTCAAAACATGCTAGGGACCTAAACTATCGGCGGTACTATATATAATGAAACAACCCTGTTTCCTCCAAAATTCAGAAAAGGGGACCCAGCTCAAGCATGATTCTCATATCAAGTGGCATTCCTACACTCTCTATATGGAACTAAGGAATTGAATCCTTCAACTAGGTGGGACATATGGAGCAACCTTTGGGCTTTGACCCAAAAGTGTTCGTGTGTCAACCTTGCATGGCCTTTTCTCAATCGGGTGAGGATGACCCTTCTTCTAAGAGTAAGATCTCCTAGGCTACCTGCGCGAGTTTCTCTGCCGATCTGATGCTAAAAATTCATAAAAAAACATCGTTCAAAGAAATTTGCAGCGTCGGTTATCCTGATTAAGAATAGGCCATGCGAGGCTGACATTTATTGTGGCAGGTTGAGGTTCGTGGTGGTTAAGTCCAGAGGGTGGCCTTAGCTGCCTATATGGCCGGGTACCCAGACAACCACTGTACAGCCGAGACTCCAGTTCATGGTATCTCTCCAACAAGAACACAACGAGCAGGTCGACAAAGAACCTGCCACATTTGTGTTTTAAAACTTTTTTATTTACTGATGTATGCATGTCTGTTTACCTTATCATTGTATTGTATATTATAATTGTATATTTTACTCAGTGATAATATTTTGATAACTATATATTTTGATATAATATTTTGGTCAGTGATAATATTTATAACATTGCTTAACATTTTTTTACATTTTTTTCAGTGTTTGAATTTCCTTCCCATCATGGATTACCCTGGAATAAGGCTCTCCATACTTGCTACATGTAATTATACACCTACTTTACACAACTTGGCTTGAACAAATGAATATTTTCCCATACTATCAGTGAAAATTGTTGAACTAGTACAAAGTCCTGTTGTTATACTTCTGCTTGCATGCATTTATTAACTAAAGAAATATTTTTTATTAAATTCTGAAGTTGAGTATTACATACACAAATCCCCTGGACATGACCAAATTATCTCTATTATACTTTGAATTGCATTTTAAACCACAATATTATGATGCCATCCTACGTTCTCACTTTCCTCGCTTATGGAAGTATTTTGTATTCTCATTCTTAAAGTTCACAAACCCCCAAAACACATCCTACGGTCCTTCTACATTGTTCCTATGATGTCCAAAATTCAGGACTCTTTTTACAACATTTAATATCCATCATTCCACGATCAAGGTTTCAGAGTCATTGGCATCATTTCCTTTACTTTAGAGAACAAAGAGTGTTTGGATCTGACACCCAGGCAACTTAAATGCTTCATGCACATCTTGATGTCTTATCCTGGAATTCTATTTACTGGCTGTATAAGAGTGAGGTGCAGCAACTCAATTTTCAGACCGATACAACCTGGTGTCCCACAAGGGAGCATTCTTGGTCCCATCCTTTATACCATTTATACTGTTGACTTTCCTATACATCCCAATACCATCTGTCAAACGTAGAGGACAAAACTGAATTTAAAAAAAAACACACACTGAAAAAAAAGTCTTGCACTCCATTGTACATTAACAACAATGAGCTACCGACTTCCGGTCAAGTCAGATATTTAGGACTTACCTAGACATCTTGACATTGAATCCCCATGCAAAACGTAAAAAACTTAACAGAAGAATTGGACAACTACAAAGACTCTAAAAGTTGTAAAAAAAGTTGTAATATGTAAATACACTTTTTTTATGAATGCTTTCTAGAATTCAAATTAATCAAACCATGTAATTATTTATTTATTGTATTATAATATTTTGTGTTTAATTTTTTTAGTGTGTATGTTGTTGGTCATAAAGGAAGCAGGTAAATGTTTTTTTAAATATTTTTTTCATAATTAAACAAATACACATGTACAAAATGGGCTCTTTTACCATTTGTTTTTTAGAATCTGATTTTCCGAAAGGAATAAATCATCTGATTAATGGAAATTTACTGATTGGTCGGGGTGACAGATTGAGTGCATCATCAACCTGTGGACTGCATTCGGTGGTATGTATCGCAGTAAACACCATTCGGTGTGTGATAGTTATAAATTAATTAATTTTTTTTTTGAAAATTAATTGTGATAATTGTACATTTTTCCAGCAAAAATATTGTATTGTGTCACATCTTGAAGATAAGAAAAAATGTTTTAAATGCGACTCAAGACCTGGAGAATTATCTACAACGAGCCACAGAATCCAGAATGTCATTTATAGAAGAGATCCAAAGTTAGTTTTCTTCCCTTAAAAATGATGTGTTTTTCGACTATTATTATTAGCAAGCATTGAATATTTTTTATAATATTTATTTCCCTGTTTATTAGTAATTATACTGTTGTAATTCTTCTTTCTGTCTTTTTGGAGCATTTTATTCTGATGTTGGCTCCGTGTAAAAATATTTCATAAATCTACACTCAATAGAGAATTGTTTAGCAGTATTCATTTAAAAAACAATAATCAAAATACTGTTGTTTTTGTTTGTTTTTTATTAGAACAAGAGCACAAAATTGGTGGCAATCTGAAAATGGAAAAGAAAACGTTACCATCAGATTGGATTTGGAATCGGAATTTTATTTTACACATTTAATTATGTGGTTTAGAACATTCAGACCTGCTGCGTTGATAGTAGAAAGATCTTCTGATAATGGTTTGACATGGAAGGTATGAAAAATAAAAATGAAACTGTTTTTTAGTAATTATAGACAACTAATCACGATTGGTAATTATTAATTGTAGTAACAATAATAGTAATAATTTATAAATTATTTATAATAATTAATAACAATTAATAATTACATATTGGCTGGACTTACAAATCATAAATTTCTATTTTCAATTAGATTTACTCATTCATAAAGTAACATGAAGAAATACGGAAATGCTAATATTATATTTTTATTTTTAAAATTTATTATTATTTTTAATGTGCGATTTTTATCGCTACAAGCAAATGAGAGAGAACAGACAGTGACAATTTGGTATGTTACACTTGATGGGAGAAGTCACCCTGAATTGACACTCCCTCAAATTGAGTCAATCAATCTCTCAAGAGATCTCTCGCTTCAAATGACATGTTGGGACTAGAAAGCTGTTGGACATGTGGATTGGGCTGAAGGTGTAAATTTTAGTGAAGTTTCTGTATCAGTATTTAATAATGTCAATTACAAATGGAATTTGGAGGTCATTGTGGATTGTAAGGTTCGAAATGTATAAGGGGTTAGTACTTTTGATTGGATGGATTGGATTTTATAGGAATTTGATTTATTTTTGTTGAACCCCAAACTTCATTTCTCTAAAGTGGCCTACGGAGTCTTTTAGCATATGAGATGCTTCTTTTTCTCAAGTGCCAAGAGTTAATCTCCCTTCGTCCATTCACGGTAATGCCAGATTTCGCTTTGATGCCTCAGTTTACATCGGGCTGTCATGCAACTTGGTTTAACTCAGTTGGATTATGAATCTCTCGAATAAAATCATGCCCTTGAATTGATTTTTTTTTTTAACTTTTTCAATGATCTCTAATAAAAATTCGGGATTGAAAAACAGTTTGTCCAATTCCATTTCATTTGAGAACTGATTCAAAGGGGTTGCACAAACTGAAAAACTAAACAAAATAAACTATCTCTCTACCTTCTGTTATCTGATGGCAGGTGTCTCTACCCTACTCACCTCGACTTCTCTCTCCCTTGGACGCCGGGAATTCCATCCTGACCGGTATTCCATTTTTTATGCTGGGAGTCTCCATGAGTGGGCTCCTTAAGTCCTCAGGAGGGTCTTGTAAATGATGAGTTTGTTAGAAGGTGGTGGTCATTATGGTCAAGAAATAATTTAGTGTTGGTTAGTTTCCTGTCTTTTCAATTATGGGATTCCATGTTAGTCTTTTGTCAATGTATAGTCCAGGTAGTGCACAATATCTGAGGTTTTCCACTGAAGACTGTAGGGCAAGTGGATTTTCAGCATGTAAACTGCTGGATGGATTTAGTTTTGTTAATTTTCATTCTCCATTTGCAAGACCAAGATTAGGCAAGGTTTAAATGGAGTTGGGTGTTATGACTAGCTATGGAAGGGTCAGGTTTGGGTGTCAAGATGGCAGTGTCATCAGCAGAGAGCATATAACATTGTTAGGAAGAGGAATGTCGGCTGTATATATTGTGAATAGGAAGGGTCCTGGGATGCTGCCCTGGGGGACACCCATTTTAATGGGAATATAAGAAGCAAAGGCAGCCCCCTGAGTGATGTGGCAGTATCAGTCTGTCAGATAGGATTTTAATATTACAAGGTATGTAAAAGGAACAAAGCCCTTGAGCTTCAACAGCAAGCCAGAGTGCCATACCCGATCAAACACTTGTATTTTTTAATACTTAAATATTATTTTTGGTAAAGACAGCATTCCCACATATTATTATAAATTTAAATATGTTGTTCAGTAGAATAATGAAATGGAAACTGTATGTCTATTCTTCAAAGTGGTTAATTTTATTTTAGCCGTACAGATACTTTGCTGAAAATTGTGCAGTTACTTTCCCTGGATTAAACAGAACAAAGTCATACCAAGATCCTTCTGAAGTTACTTGCGAAGAAACATACTCATCATCTACGCCAGTTACTAATGGAGAGGTAGTATACTATTAATATAGAATTAATATAGAATAGAACTAATTGAATAGTATACAGAGGTACTATACTATTCAAACTATTCCAAAATTTCATACAATTGAATTGAAAATATCTTTTCAGGTTATTTTGAAAATAATCCCTCCAGATTTAGAGAATCACTATGACCCCTATTCAACGAACTTACAAAATCTTATGAGAATTACAAACTTGAGAGTGAATTTTACAAAACTCCATACTTTGGGTGATGACTTGTTGGATAAAAGACAAGAAATTCAGGTAAAATCTTCATTTACTTGAATTTGCCGTTATTTCTATATAGAATTAATACAAAGTTTATTCATAGGAAAAATACTACTACGCTATTTATGAAATGGTAGTAAGAGGATTTTGTTGGTGCTACGGACATGCTGAAAATTGTCTTCCTCTTAACGAAAACGTGAAAGATACACCTGGAATGATACACGGACGGTGTGATTGTGTTCATAATACAACAGGCATTAACTGTAAATACTGTAAAGATACTCATAATGATCTTCCTTGGAAACCAGCAATCGGTCATGTCATTAACGCATGCCAAAGTATGTATTGTCAACACTTATTTTATTGCATTAATTTTTTTAAGTACTGTAATGAATTCTTTTAAATTTGATTTTAGAATGTAAATGCAATGAACATGCTCTTCGGTGCAATTTTAGCAGTGAGGTGTATCAACAAAGTGGACACACTAGTGGTAGCGTCTGCATCGATTGTGAACATAATACTATGGGTAATAATTGTGAACGGTGCAAGCCCATGTATTACCACGATCCACAATTGCCCATTAGTCACCCCGACACATGCTTGCGTAAGTTAAATTCAATGTAACCATCATTTCTAATATTATAACATAGTCGATGTATAATTTTACATTTCAGCTTGCAATTGCAATAGCGAAGGTGCTGTAGACGGAGGCCTGTGTAATTCTCCGAAAGATGTCTATGGATCAAGAGTTTGTCATTGTAAGGAAAATGTTGAAGGCGATTCGTGTGATGTTTGCAAACCTGGATTCTGGAATCTTCAATCTTCAAACCCAAAGGGCTGTGAACGTATGTATCTATAATTTTGTAACAGTTTTATCTTGTTATAAACTTTTATGTACTAAATCAGTGGATAAGTTTACAATACAGTGCACTCTCATTAATCTGAACTATATTTGTTGCAAGGAAGTATTCAGTTTATTGAAAAATTCGGATTACAAAAAAAGATTTGACACACTTTATTATTACATACACCAAATGTTATGCCTATTAGAATGCATACATGCTATGAGTTTTTCTTTAAAAAATCTGTTTTCAACAAATTTATTTAACATTTTCTTCAATATTTCTTCTTCTTTTTCTCTCATTTTTAATCAGTAGGTGTATTAAACTTAACACAAGAAAAATGTAGTCTGAGCTAACATTTCATTTTTAGTAGTAAAGGAAGGTGAGGATTGAACACAAGAAATTCGCAAAAATTCGTAAAGTCTAAGCTGGTCTTTGTCGTTGGTATGACCCTCCCTCTCCCTCTCCACCATCCCTCCCTCCCCTCTTTCTCCCTCTCTCTCCTTTCTCTCTCCATCACCATCTCCACTCCCTCTCCCTCTCNTCTCCACTCTCTCCCCCCTCCCCCTCCCCTTCTCTCTCTCTCCACTCCCTTTCCCTCTCTCTCCCTCTCTACTCTATATCCCTCTCCCTCTCCCTTTCTCTTTCTCTTTAACGTTCTTTTTCTTCTTCTGATACCACCAAATAATGTTTCACTTGTTTCCTTTAAAATTCTCATTTCTTGATTTTTTTTCTATTTCACATTGTTGGAAGAGAGCACCAAAGTTAGAATTAGGGTGAGAGCACTGTAGTTTTATTTTTTGTTAAAAACAAAACTATAAATGTCACTTGGTTCAACATTTGTTCCCTGACTTGCAGACCAACATCCACCATCATGTTTATATCATGTACCATCATGTAATATTTTTTACGTTCACAAACTTCCATATTTATGACTAAATATTTGTCACATCTTTAATGAGTTTGGGAATTTCACTTTGAAAAGCAAACTAATTAACTAAAACAAACAATAATGTATTATTTACATTTGTAATGTTTTTTGTTTTTAGCTTGCACATGTGATTTACGTGGAACCATTAACGGCAATCGCTCATGCGATCCGTACACCGGTATCTGTTTGTGTGAACCATTCGTTATCGGTAAAGACTGCAACCAATGTTTCTTAGAACATTGGGGCTTATCAAATGATACATATGGTTGTTTACCATGCAACTGTGACGTGGGTGGATCTTATAGTTCTAATTGTGATGTTGTTACTGGGAAGTGCATGTAAGTGGTTTGTTAAAACTTAAATCATTGTTAAAAACTGCTTTAAAAATATTTAAGCTAAACAAATGTAGTTTGAATTTTTGTTAAAACTTAAATTATTAATTGTTAAAAACTGCTTTAAAAATATTTAAGCTAAACAAATGTAGTTTGAATTTTAAGTTTGAATTTTTGTTAAAACTTAAATTATTAATTGTTAAAAACTGCTTTAAAAATATTTAAGGTAAACAAGTATAGTTTGAATTTTAAGTAGCTCATTTCTTTTAGCAATTACATATGCAAATCAATAAAAATATGATCAGGAGGAAGATGAAATTTACTATATCTTCCTTCTGTTGTAAAAAAAGGTATCCCCCCCAAGAATTTTGAACAAATGTACAGTAAAATTATATTTTATATTCTATAGAACGTTCAGGGGGTTGTACAAGTGTCGCTTGAAAAGATAAAAGTCTGTTATTTTGCTACGTTTAATTACAGGTGCTACCCTCATCTGACAGGACGTACTTGTAATGAGGTTGATCAGAATTACTTTCTCCCAGATATTGACATGGTATACGAAGCGGAAGTGGCAAACCATTCAGATGTGAGCGATCCTAATCAACCCTTTGTTTTTTCTCAATCAACACTTTAAACTCTATATGCTAATCTGTTGTGAACTTTTTAACAGAATTGTCAACCGGAAGTAAAAGAATGGCCCAGGGAGGGAACTCCATATTGGACTGGTTCTGGTTTTACACGAGTGCACGATAATTGCGAATTAGTCTTCATAATTGACAATATTCCTAATTCCATGGAATATGATTTGATCGTTCGACATGATAAGGTATGAAGTTTTATAATTTTAAAAATAGATACAAAATACATTTCCAAATGAACATTTTTTAAGTTAGTAAATATAACAATATTATTATAATTATTATTTGGAGATTGTGAGATGCGGTCTGGTTTGATGTAGGTTTAGAAAACCATTTTCTTTATCGCGCCAACATTTCGATCTTTATTGAGATCATCTTCAGGGCTCAAAGTTTTTTTTTCTGTGTAAATTTGTCATTACTTTGTGCTGTGTAGAGGGGGTTACATCAGACTGTATCTCATGATCTCCAAATAATCATTAATTAACGGTCACTAAACACCACACACATTATTATAATTGTCGGTTTTATTTTAATTGAGTCTTAGTGTTTCCAGTTTTCATAAATATGTTTAAAAAAAATAAGTTTTTGCTTTTTATACTTTTTGTATATATTTTTTTTATACTTTTATACTTTAAATGTTATTTGCAATTTTTTTTGTAGGTTAAAAATGACGAATTAGTCGATGTAACCGCTCAGTTAACACGGCCCGATACGCCTGTTGGTTTGTGTTCAAATGTCAATGAATATGATGATGAAAAACAACTCTATTTTCAACCAGGTAAGCATGAAAAAATATGATAAATTATCAGTAATTTCAATGACGAATAAGTAGGATGGAATTAACTTCATTTATTGAAAATGAATGGCTCTATGTTTAAAAATTTGGATTTTGTAGAACTTTTTTAAAATGATTTTTAATTTAAAAAAGGCATTTGTTATTCACATTAAACTAAATTTGATATTCTTTGTATAGATGATTGCAAAAGTTCCACTCATTATCTCTCTACTTTATTAATTTGTTTAATTTTGCTACTGCTAAATTTATTTAATAAAAAACTTGATAATTTCTTAATTGTTTATTTTTTTAAACAGATAATTCATTTGCTGTTTCCTCGACACCTTTATGTCTAGAAAGTGAGAAAACCTATAAATTAAAGTTGACTTTCAGTTCTAGTAATAATCAACTTTACGGCCAGGCACCAACTATATTAATTGATTCGGTAAGTCAAAGTTAATTAAAAAATTTAAAGACATTATTCCATTTGATAAATACTTGTTTAAATTGTATGTTTGAAAGTTTATTTTTATGAAAATAACAGTAAATTTTAAAGGAAACTTGGCATGTATTATTTGTATGTATTTTTTTAATTTTTTTTATAATGGACTTTGTCAAAGTTTTCAACTTCCAATTCTTAGAATTTTCCACGCCGATCTGCTCTGTTCCATTACTTGCGTATTTCTCATTTTTCACCTTGGGAACAAAGCAGAACCAGTTAAAAATAATGTCTGTAAAGTTTGTAATACCAAAAATTCAAAGCAGTGGCTACAGGGCTACCCGGAACCGAAGCAGATGGCAATTTTTTAAACTCTCCTCAGGCAAGAGTGAAATGTAACTGCATGCAATGTGGGACTTTGGTGGCTTAGTAATTTTTTAAAATTTTATTTCCTAGTACAAAACATTTTTAAAACAAATAAAAATTAATTTTATTTAAGGAAGAACAAAATATATTTTCAGTTCAATTTTTATTAAATTTAACAATTTTAACTTTTTTAATCTAGTTGTATATTTTTAAATTTAACTGTAACATTAATTGAATATTTGTACATGTTGAGTGTAAAAAATGATCTGATGAAATCAGTCCATTACAAAATAAAACGTCACATCATAAACAATGTTTGAGACATTAATTGTGTACCATATTACATGGTAGTTTTTACCTGGTAAATAAAATTTGTAATTGATGCCTTAACACTTTTTATATATGTTTCTAAGTTCTTATTGCACATTTTGCAAGTTTTACTTCGTGAAAATCCGGTCTTTAGTCATCACAATATACATCACAAATTTTCCTAGCAGTCTGAACTGCAGCTTCCCTTTGTAATAATTAAGATAAAATAAATTAAATTAAATGTACTCTATTTTTCTACTATTTTAAAATTTGCAAAACATCTTGTCAAAATACGAAATTTTAAATTTGATGAATAATTAGACCTAAACTAATCCCTTTTCAGAGGGCATAAACAATTTTAATTATGTTTAGAAGGTCTTACTTCCGTCATCCTCAGGTTTGTGTTAGCTAGTAACAAAACTAATCTTTATTTGTTCATCTATCTCATTGGATTTTTTCTCTTATTTTTCTTCTTCCTTATAAATAATTTTTTATTATTAATTTATCTTTTTACACTTTTTTTTGTATCATCATTCATTTCATTATTTTATTACTATTTTCCAAACTTGCCAAAACTAAACATTTTAATTTGATTTATTTTAGATTGTATTAGTACCTAGAGTAGATTCTCTTGACATTTTCACCAAAACTCCAAAGAATAGAGATAGGCTAAGGTCATACGTTCAATTAGGCTGCCATGAAAAGTACTATTTACCTCATCAGGAACCAGTTGAAGTATGTAAGGAACACCAGTTTAGTATTTCTATCAGAGTTTTCAAAAACCCTCCAGGTAACCTGTAAAAACAACTTTTTTTAAATACTCTTCTATTCTTTTTAAAGACAAACTGTAGTAATTTTATTTTTAATTTCAGAATGTAAATGCAATGCGACTGGTTCAATCAGTACGCTGTGTAATTCATTAGGAGGAAAATGCCTCTGCAAACCGAAAGTCATTGGACGGACTTGTGACAAATGTGCTGAAGGAACATACGGCTTTTTCCAAAGTGATGGTTGTAAAGGTAATTCAATTTTATTTTGTGAGTTTTATGGGTGTCAGTGACTAAATTGTAGGGAAATTGGAGCCTTCACACTCCTGGAATTCCCACTTGTTATTTCAAATTTAAATGAAATAATTAAGTTTAAAGATGAATTCAAAGGACAAATCACACATTTTTGTCTAATTTTAATATTCATTTAAAAACAATTAAAACTGGCTGAAAATCAAAAGAAACATCCGTAATAAATACTGTGCTAAAATGGAATAATGCATATTTTTAGATTGTGATTGCAACTCTGTCGGTGCCAAAGACAATATTTGTGACCCCTACTCAGGGCAGTGTAATTGTAACAATGGTACTTATGGAAGAAGTTGCGATCAATGCGCACCTGGTTCTTGGGATTTTCCTCATTGCAAGCCGTGTCAATGCAACGGACACGCTCATATTTGCAATGGGACTACAGGAGAGTGCATAGGTTGCACGGATTTTACAGCAGGACACTATTGCGATAAGTATGTTAATTAAAAAAAAGTTGTAATATTTATACCTCTGTATGTAATAATAAAATTTTCTATATTGTACATTGTCTTGTAGATGTGCAGATGGTTATTACGGTGAGCCAATGAACGACATTCCTTGCAGACCATGTAGCTGTCCAGACACGATAGAATCTGGCCATTCATTTGCATCTTCCTGTGTGAAAAACTCACAAGATGATGTTATATGTTTATGCAAAGATGGATATCGGGGTATGTATAGTTTGAAATTTCGTGTTATAGAAAAAATACTGATTTATTTAAAAAAAATTTGAAACTCTCTTATATAGGCTGTTATTATTTATGTATATTATGAAATTCTTCTAAAAAAATTTTTTTCTTTTGATTAGTTATTATTTAGCGCTAAGAAAAATTGATACTTTTTACTACTTGAGAGAGGAAGAAAATGACTGTTAATGAACGAGGACTTTTGTTTTCTTTAAGGACCGAGGTGTGATAAATGCGACGATAACTATTTTGGACATCCCGAAAGAGTCGGAGGTTCCTGTCAACCTTGTAATTGCAGTGATAACACCGATCTTTCTCAGCCTGGAAATTGTCATCCACACACTGGCGAATGTTTGAAGTGTTTGTACAATACTACAGGGAAAAATTGTCAACAATGCCTACCTCACTATTTTGGGAACGCCTCAGAACATAATTGCCAAAGTGAGTTTATTTATTTCTTTAATTTTTATATTAAAGCCTTAATTCAAAGTTAAAAAATGTAAAATAGTTATTCAGATATCGATTAACGGTCACTAATCTCTACACAAAAATGTAAAATATTGCAAGTATGTAACTTCGACATTTTTCTTAAATCTTAATTATTTTGAACATTAATATATTGGATTACATGTATTAATTACTTCCAGTATTCTTTTTTATCTCAAATGCTATTTTTTTTTACAAATTAATTTATTCTACTTTTTAGAATGCCCATGTAACATATTGGGTACTGATTCATCGAAGGGTCCATGTAATCCTGTGACAGGGGAGTGCCATTGTTTGCCCAATGTTGAAGGGAAAAATTGTGACCGATGCACCCGAGAACATTGTTTAATCGGTAGAGGTACAGGTTGTGTACATTGTGCTTGTGACCCCGTAGGGTCTCAAAATCAAGACTGTAACATGGTGAGTGTAATTTATTAGTGTTGAGAAAATAATTTGTTTACACATTGTTACATTTTCTCTTAATTGAAAAAAAAAAGAAAATTAATCTGTTTTTCTATTTTTTAACTATTACTTACATAAAAAAATTAATTAATTGAAAGAAGTAATTTGGTCAATAGATCACAAAATATAATGGATTTTCAACTATATTTAAAATGAAAAGTTAAAAATAATGGTAGGAATTTTCTAAAATGAATACCAAATGTATTTTTTAGCTAAATTTTCTTGAACAAGTATTCAAATAAATTGTAAATAATAATTTAACACAAATAAAAAAACAGCTTTTGTAGTTTGACGGTGCTTGTAAATGCCGAGACGGGTTTGGTGGTATGAAATGCAACGAGTGTCAGGCCAACTACTGGGGAGATCCGAAGAAGGAATGTTTCCGTAAGCATAATTTCTCTGTAATATAAAACAATCATCAATAATTGCAATTTATTTTCAGCTTGTGACTGTGATATTGACGGAGCAGTAACTGGAACGTGTAATCAAACGACAGGCCATTGTTTGTGCATAGAAGGCATTACTGGAGAAAAATGTAATATGTGTTCCAGGGGTTTTAGTGGCGAAGCACCCTTATGTGACAAATGTGGAGACTGTTTTGATAATTGGGACTTAACAATAACATGTCTATCAGGTTTGTAATTCTAAATTATATCGGTATTGTTTTAGCACATTGATTTATTTATATATGGGCAATAGCCCATTTAATTACAATAATTACAAGAAAGACTAAGGATATTTAAAGTATGAAAAACATTGAAATATTAAACACTGACAATAATAAAATAATAACATAAAGTATAATGTAGATACCAATATTTTAATACAAAAATAATATTTGGTATTTGACCAATAAGAACAGTTACAATTGTTTTTATAATACATATTATTAATTAAAGAAATATGTAAAAAAATATATCACATTGACCTCAGGTATTTAATATTAATTACTCAAATTGAGAAACAAACCATCTCAATTTATTTCATTTTGTTCATTTATTAATAGACACATGTAAAATAATCCATCATTGCTTAATTACCCTTAGATGAAACTGAAAACATTACAAGAGAAGCAAAGGATATAAGACAGACTGGAACCTCAGGCTACAATGCCATCGTTTTCGACAGATTAAGCAATAAAATTGATGAAGTTAATAAAACTCTAATCAACACAAAATCCAATGTCATGAAATTAAACGATTTAAAAATGGATGTAGACAACTACAGGTTGTTTTTTTTTTTATTTTGTATTTTCTTTAATAGTTTATTTTTTAAATTAAAGACTTCATTGTTATAATAATTAACATTATTTCTAGTTCTACAATTAATGTCACCAATGATTTAGTAAATGATTTAAAGAATAAGGTAGAAGCTGTGATATATAATGTCAGCTATGCCAATATGGTGCTATCAAGTTTGGAAAATTCAACGGAGGCTTTGAAGAAGATGACCAACGATTTAAGCAACAATTCTACAAATCTGCAGGAAAAATATTTAAAAGGTAATAACAGATATTTAAAACAATATAATTAATTCTTTATATTTTTTAATTTTAATAATTAATTTTGTGATTTTTAATCTTTATAATATAACCATAAACAAACATAGATAGGCACACCTAAAGAATCAGAAAATATATATTGCTTAGTATATTTTTTTGTTTATAGCTTATTTAGTAACTTATTTATCACTTTATTGCTTAAATTTATCAAATCAAAAGTTATTACTAAAGCCTGAATTTATATGCAATAAAAATCCTCAAATATGGTGTATAATATCCATAATCAAATCTAAAATATTATATGCACTAAAAAACCCTTAAATATGCCATATAATATGCTCTAAAAATAGTAAAATACATAGCATGAATATCGTCTTATAATTAAGTTTTTTTTTAAACCTGAATATAATTTTTTTGGCTTAGTACATTTTCATTTTTAATGGAAATAGGACAGAAAAACCTCATTCATGTAATTGCATAATTTAGAATATAATTAAGCCTAATTAAGATTATGACCTGAAGATACATTCAAAAGTTAATATCTGTAAAATGACAGCTTTATCGTTGTAACAAGCATTTGTACCTCCAAAAAGGCTTTCCATTGTTGACGACAGGAGCATATTTTGTAAGAACTTAACTTAATCATCGATTCCCTGCATAACAACTTTATTGTGTACATTAATTTTCTCCAATTCATTCAATCAAGTATTTTTGTCAGGGATGCTTTGTTAATTTCTCTAATTCCTGCATCACCAGGGATTTTACAAATTCTTTTTTGTCAGAAAGAGACAATCCAACCTGCTATTTTAGAAAAAGTTAAGTTCCCACTTTTGACATATTTTTAGCTTTACTAGGTTGAAAATATAAAAGTGGGCTGAGATTTTGGTGTTTCAAATGTAGCCCTTTTCCACAACTTGACTACTCCAGAAAAAGTAATTATTCAAGAAAGGCAAAAATCATCCAGGAAATAGGGACCTCAAAAAAGATTACAATTATTTCAAAATAATTTGTCAGATTGTTTATATTCTGTTCCTGGTGAGTTAACTGAGATTTAAATCAAATTTTAGGCTCTTGTTGTTTTCATCTCATGTTCTTAGTTGCTTCATTTTTTTTTTTTTTTTTTTTTTACTAATCAAAAATGTTTCAAACTTCCAATATTCTTAAAATTTGCAAATTTATGCAATACTCTTTTAATATGCAAAAATGTGCAGAACCATGGTCGTAAGTGTTAGCAGAAAGAATATGCAACTGCATACAAATCCGGCTCTAGTTATTACCAACAAAATAAAAATTAAGCCTGCAAAAAATACAAGTCTTTAAATGTTAACTATTTTTCTCCAGGTGCTCTTAATATAACCAGAGAAGCAGGACTTAATGCGAAAAATGTGTCCAATATTGAAAAAAAAATCGAAACCCAGTATTTGATTCCTGCTGACAGACAGTGTAAAAGAACAGAAAAATTTCTAAATAAAGACAACGAAACATTTACCAGTACTGAACATAAAAATGAAGCTAAGAGAGGACAACTAGATTTCGAGCTATCAACCATAGAGAAAAAACTACCAGATCTTAATGAAAAGGTAAATTAAATTTATTCCATAGGTTCTTTTATGTTACAATAATATAAAAAAAATTAGAAAAAACTTCGTTTATGTCTCAAATATTTGTTTGTGTATCGAACATAAATAGTTTTTTTCTAATGAATTGACACTGAAGTACTCCTCTAGGTAATGATGACCAGGTTTGCTATGTATTGGAATGTTTTAAGATCCTAACCTATCCCTAACCATAACCTAACCATTGAAAGAATTACATAAATATATTTGTGTATTGTTCTAAGCAATTTTTTCATAAGTCTATTCTTACAAATACACCTTGGCCTCATAAAGTAGAGAGAAGCCTCGTATCATGCTTGAATCCACAGCCAATCATGAAAGTCATTAAATCTCTGTATTTTAATCCAGGCATTGTTTTTTACTTTTTTTATGCCCAGAAGCCAAAACAGATTTGACAAACCAAAGGGGCGTAGACATTTTGCAAAGATTTATTTGTTTATTTTTAAACAAATTATTACAGTGAGAGTGAAACTTGGCAAAAAAAGTATTTCATGTGGAAGGAGAGACAAATGATAAAATGATCTTTATATATCATAAACTGAGAATTGATTTTAATTAATAATCAATTTAAATAAGGACGTATATATTGGGTTGTCCGGAAAATAATGCAGGATTTTGGTATTAAACAAAAAAAAAGAAACTAGTTACTTTAAAGCAATGTTCTTNTCCTGTAAACGTAAACAGAATATTTTATATAGATTTTTTTTAATGAAAACTTAAAATCCTGCATTATTTTCCGGACAACCCGATAGCTATACATTATTTTTAGCCCTACAAGTATTATTATTTTGGAAATTTACTGTATTAGTGTAGCTGCTAGATGTAACTAATATTTAACTAGTTTTTGTATTGACAGTGATTCTACAAAAATGGTATAAACTAGACAAAACAGGAAAATACTTTAAAAAAAATTCTCTAGAAAAGACCTTACTGTTTTCCCCATAGGAGAGACAGGAAATAATTAGTGAAACCTAGATTTCCTGTTCTTTGACCTACAGACCCTTTCTTTATTGTTTAGAGTTTAATTACTCATAATAGTTAAAAAAGGGTTATCCATTCTTTTCTTATAAAATTGCAAGTTTTCTCAACTTTACCAGAATTGTATATACATTCTCTAACGCTACTTAACCTAACCCAATTCTACCGAACCTTAACCCTACCTAATGTAATCCTAACCCAACCCAAGTGCACAAAAAAGAATTTTTGTATCTGGCCTAAAATCATATCCATGTTAAAAGAACTATGGTTCTGATTACTGATTTATATAAGCCCAACATTGGACATGGATGTACACACATACATACAGACATATCAATCTCAATTCAAACATACCATTCACTAAGTTAGGGTGGTGGAATATTTGAAATTTCTCCATCACCCCTACACCTATTATATAATTAATCTAATTGAGGGTAGATGGAGTACTCAATATTCTATCATTGGCCCTCTTACACTATTCACACTAATAAATACATTCAGCCTCAACATAAAGAAACAGAAGACGAGATGTCTATAAAGTATTACATAAGTAAACCAGCCCTGATTCCTCTAAAAATTGGAGCAGGTGATCCAGGTACTCGCTCAAGCACAATTCTTACATCAAGTACCTACACTCTCTCTATATGGAGCCAAGGAATGGCACCCTTCAATTAAGTGGGACACGTTGAGCAATCTTTCTCTACATGGCAGACATGTTCACAGCCTTTGGCTACGAATTAATACTGTAAATAATTATGGAATTTATGGTTTTGAATTAAATATTTTTTTTTAGATATGTGATGGTCGAGGGGATCCTTGTGATGGTCTTTGCGGTGGAGCTGCGTGCGATAAATGTGGAAGTAGTGCCTCGTGCGAAAATGGTGCTGTAAGAAAAGTTATAGCGGGATTAGATATAGCTGAAAAATACAAAGCATCAATAAAGGCAAACTTATCTAACGCTGATGGGTTACGACGTAATGTGAGTTAATACTTAGTTGTAAATAATTTAAAGTGTCAACTGTAAAAGTCTTATTTTTTGTGTAATGTTAATTCAAAAGAAAAATATTTCATTATTAAAATTACAGCAAACTACTAGGAAACCAGAAAAGTTTGTGCTAGTTTAAAGCATTTAATGATTGTAACAATTGAAATTAGTTTAAACATATTTTATTCTTTCCCCAGTTAGTTACTAGCCTATTTATGCCCTTCTTATAAAATTTTGCGTCCCACATTATAACAAATTCAGCTCATTTACAGCTGTTGGCGATTATTGAACACACAATTGTCCATTACTAAGAAAAGGTGAAAGTCAGATGGGGTCAGGTCTGGAGAGTGCGGAAAGTTCCTACTCCTTAGAAAGACTAACTAAAGCTTCATTATATATTTACAATGTCTCACATTGTCCTGGTGAAAAATGACTCTTCTTTTCTGTTCCCAAGAGCAGGTTGTTTTTGGGCCAGAGCAAGAGATACTCGTTGCAAATGGCTTGAGTAGATTTCTGTGGTGATGGTCTGGCCATGTGGCAGTGCACAATGCCTGCCGTACACTGCCAAACACAAATCATCACTTTTATTGGTGAATGTTTGGTTTCATATCAATGGGACAGGGTCATTTGGTGAAAGCCAATAGTACAACCCGGTGTTACTGTATAAGATCCATTTTTCATCCCATGTGACAATCCAATAAAAAAATGTCGACTTTGTACCATGAAAGTAATGCACATATTTATACCTGAAGCTTACCATCGGTCATTTTATGAAGACTGTTATGTCGTTTTGATCTGCTGTCTTCCCAAGTTGTAAGCTAGAGCAAATGGTTTTATCATTTACGTTGAACACTGGCGAGCTCCTTGTATGTTTGACTCCAAATCAAGTTCAATAGCTTCCCTTAATGCTAAACAAAGGTCTAGCAGACTGTGGTTCATCTTCCACCCGCCATTCCCAGAATCGCTTTTTGAACCACTTTTGGGCAGTGTGCTCACTTCACTTTCATCACTGAATTACACATTGATATATATTGTAAAAAAAAAAAAAAAACTTATTCTACTTCCAATTAGTAAGACTGAAATTATTGAAGATTTTATTTATAATGTTTTTTTTTATTATGTTTTCAGATATCAAATGCAATGAAACATGTTTCTACAGTTCATAAAGCCACTGTTAAGGTTCACGATATGGTCAACGATATTAAAAAAACGTTTGAAACCCAAGCTATGGGTATAGTTGATGTCAAAAATAAACTTGAAAAGTTCATAGAGGAATTGGGAGCGAAACCAACAGAGGTCAATGCCATATCTGAAAGCGTAAGTATAAGTGTTAAATTATAATTTTCATAGTAGTTAAGTAGCAACTGTCAGGATAAAATGTCCGTTCAATAAATGATTTAATGTATTAATATAATAATATACACGAATATTTTAATCAAGTTAGAAATTGCTACTGTAGGTTGTAAATATGCACATTCAACTGCAGCCACAACAAATCAAGGATTTGGCCTCTGAAATAAATAGCACACTTGCTTCCTTGACTAATATCAATACCACTCTTGAAGCAACTAAAGATGATCATAAAAAAGCCGATGACTTGAAGATGAGATCTGATGATGCAAAGTGAGTTTGTTAAAAATTTAATAACTTAATTTTCTATAGAATGTCCTACTATTAATTGTATATTATTTTGTAGAAAAGACGCAGAAGATATCTTGGCAAAAGCTCAGGAAGTTATTTCCGAGTTACAGGCTGCTGAAAAAGCACAACACAGTGCAAAGTCAAAGATAGACAATGCTAAAGATGACATTGCAACAATTCAGAAACAACTGCAACAGGTATTATCATTAATTTGTATTATTATTTATATAAATATGTTATACTTTGCAAATACTTTTTATTGATTTATGAAATTTTGTGTGCAATTTAGATTATTTATGCATTACAAAATCTATAAAGATAACTCAGTTTCATTAGAATTTTGCTCTAAATTATAATTTATTTATATAAATTAGAGTTGATATTAATAATGAAAGGAAAATAAGTTGATATTAATTTTAGATTGTAAGTGAAACGGATAGTGGCTGGTCAGACCTGAATTACACTAAACATGATGTTGAAAAACTAAAAACTGCGCTTAAACGTGTTCAGACTGAAATATTTCAAAATAAGAATAAAGTAGATCAAATTCTGATGGAAGCCGGAGGTGTTTCAACTCAAGTAATATTTATTTTCTTGATAACTTACCAATGATGATAGAATCATACAAATTCATTGATTTTTTTTCTAGGTTGAGAATACAGACGAAAAATTGAACTTTTTGAAAAATAATTATGCTAAAGTCCTTGACAAAGTGACAAATCTTCGACAGCCTCCAATTTTAGACAAGACTAAAGTGAGGGTTCAAGAATTACTTGATCAAGCACAGAGGCTCTCATTGAAAACTAATGCCAGATTAAGTGAATTTAAAGGTAATTTAAGCAACGGATATATTTTTGTACTCAATTCAGATAGACAGTTTCACTCAACAACTAATAATAGAAAACAAGTCGTTCTGAGTCACTACTAGGAAAATCCTGTCTTACCATAAGGTCCCTCCCCTTTTCATTGAGCGGATTTTGGTCCAAATTGGACGAGGAGAAAGCCAATCATCTTGCTGCCTACCTGTCCACTGTCTTCAGCAAACATGCCAATATCGTAGATCCCAATTATGTCCTAGATCGAAGAATTCCTAAACTCTCTTCTCCCTTTATCTTTTCCTCCTAAACTGTTCTCTCCATCAGATGTATTATGATAGCATAATGTGCCACCTAAAACCTAAAAAAGCTCCTGGATTCGACCTGCTATCCTCCCAGGAAATCCATAATATTTATATAGCACTGTAGTAAAAACGATGCTAAAACAATATAATTGAAGAATAGTCAATATTCTAGAGTTAGGATCAGTTTGTTGATAAAAGAAATGTTGAGGTTATTGTGGATAGTGAGGTTAGTGATGTAGTAAGGAGCTTTGATGATTTATCTGAGGACTTTTGATTGGAAGAATTGGATGCGCTGGATGTTGGATGGCTTAGCGAAACCCCACAGTTCCACTCTGTATGTCCAAAGAGGTCGCAGTAAAAGCTTGTATAAGGTTAGTTTAATGTTGACCGTCAACACGGTCCTTCATAGTTGTCCAAGTCTTTTGTTAAGTTATTGATATTAATATTAATTCACCAATTTAGGAGGCCACGTGAGCCTTACAAATAACATTTATTATCTATATATTTAATTCAGTCCTATGCACAACTTATTTTCTTCATTCCTGGAAACAATGTTATCCGTATGATTCCCAAACTTAAAAACACACATTAACCTATTTCTTACAGGCCCATCAGTCTATTCTGATAGAGTCTATACTGATTCTAGGAAAATTTCTAGAATGGCAAATTTTAAAACGAATCCTCTCAATCCTTAATTCCCACACAATTATCCCCGACAATCAGTTTGGTTTTTTCAGTTGCCACTCAGCAGTACAGAAGTGTTGCATTGTACATGTTATTTATTTATGCCTCCCTTGAGTTAGGACAATATTGTTTTGGGGCTTTTCTTGACGCAACCCAGGGTTTTGATTGAATTAGGCTATTTGCTATTCTTGCTCAAGGTCATTCTTCCCTCTACTACCTTATCCTTCGAAGCTACCTCACTGACTGGTACTTCCGAGTTTCATCCCCAAATTACTGTATCCTTACAGGTGTACCTCAGGGGAGTGTTCAGGCCTCTGAACTGTACCATACTCCCACCCCATCTCAAACCATAACTCTATTGCAAACAATATAGCAATCTTTCAAGAAACTCTGATCCAGTCCTCCAGAAACTTTCAGGAACACCTCACACTATTGGAGGTGTGGAAAACAAAACGAATAAAATTTAACCCGGAAAAAAACCACTCACATAACCTTCGCTCCCTGCAAAAAGATCCCTCCTCCAGTCAACATCATATTCCCCTCCCAACTATGGAGGTGCAGTACCTAGGATTAAATACATACGTGAAATCCTCACACACGACTTAAATGACAAAAAATTATGAAATGTTACAGAATTCTTTCACGACTTTGATAAATGCTCTTACCTCAGGAGAGTGTTCAGGCCTCTGAACTGTACCATACTGCTAACCTCCCACCTCATCTCAAACCATCACCACCCTATTGCAAACGATACAACAATCCTTTCAACTCTGATCCAGTCATTTCCAGTGAAAACCTTCAGGAACACCTCACACTATTGGAGCCATGGTGTGGAAAACCTCTTTTAAACAAAAGACTGCTTTATAACACCATTGTGAAGCAGATATGCACTGACGGATTGGAAGTGAGGGGTTGAGCCAAACATTTCAATAATCTTTCGAATCCAAAGAGCCAAAGAGCCCCAATCTATAATCCTCAAATAAATAATAATCCTTGACGCTCCCTTTCAAGTGTCCAATGAAACTACCCGTACAGACCTAAATATTCCTTTTCTCCAATATATAATCTACTCTCATTATCACCAATTTCATAAAAATGAGGGGTCAAACCACTTTACAATACTTTCTCCATAGTATTCACAATTAAAAATCCATGGGCTATGCCGGGATTCGAACTCGGGACTGCAAGTGTGATCTCAGCCACCACAGTCCCCATGTATCTTTTATAACACTTAATATTGTTGTATATATTTACTTTACAGATGCCGATGCATTGTATAATAAACAGAAAAAGCAGCTAGCTTCGTTGACAAGCAAAATAGACGATTTGACAAATCAAATAATGGAGTATACAAAGCAGATCAATAAAAAGGCAAAACACCACAGGGAATGTAAAAATTAAAATTTGTTTAAATTGTGTAATTTAATTATTTATTTGCTAACCAAAATGACAATTTTTGCCAGATTGAATTATATTTTGTACTAAATATTGTTGAAGTGTGTTGTGATTGTTAGTGTAGTCGAAAATTCTGTAATTTTTAAGAAATTCCTACTTAGTATTTAACTTAATAGTTGTAATATGAACAGACTATTTGTATTTGATATCCCTTTGATCCTTTATACAATTTGTTTTTACTTTATTAAGAATTCTTTTTATAATGATTTTTACAGTCAGTGAACATTTAACCCAAATAATATTTATAATTGGGTTTATATACCAACAATATTTTGAGCTTTAATAAGTGAAATTTATATGAATTATAGTACAAAAATTTATTATTAGCTTACATGCTAATGATAATAATAATGTGCCAAAAATTATTGCATATTATTTAATTTATTATTTTTTATCAATAAAGATTAAGACCTTGAGAAATACATTTAATATATTATGTAAAAAAAAAGATGAAAGCATATCTGCAATATTTTATGTAGATCTGTGATTATCAATATTAAAATTAGGCTCACTACTAATTCTACTGTCAAGTGTTTCTTGTGAAAATTCACACCATCCATGAACTCCTATTAGTATGTACGTTTTCTTTTTTGTAAATAGAATCTCTCTTTAATTTTTATTTGAGAGTAATCTCAGAAGATATTTTTATTAAAACAATTATTGATGATGTATGTATTTCAGATTTTATGATTACTATTTTAAATCAAAACTAGAATTATGTGTTATTTTTTATTTTAATTTTAGCCCTTCTCCCTATATTAAGTTTATCATTCTATTTGGCCAATTATAGCAGTTTTTATCACACAAATGGAGAACCACGGTTGCCGAGTGGTCAGTGTGATAGACGCTCAGTTCGTTGACCCCACAGTTGTGGGTTCGTTTCCATCGCCCCTGGCCCTTTTTTTTTCCTTCCCCCCTACATATATACATTGAAAAAAATATGAATGTACTCTGGCTAATATAAGAGTTCATAAGGCCATAAAACAAATTACACATACACTATTCATTTATGAAAAACAATTACTCCTAATTGAAAAATTGTTGCTTATATATCTTACATGTGTGTCTTTGTTTATTATTATAGCTATATGGGCTTATTACAGCTATATGGGCTGTTTAGCTTAAGTTACAACTGAAGAGGTTGGTAGAAACAAATGCAAATTATTAAAAAAATGTATTACTTCTTTTTTTTTACAGGGTTGTTAAGTCAGGCCATAACATTTCTTATGATTGAATTGAAACGGCATTTTGCAAGTCAAAGTAATTTCAAATTGCCTATACTGGTAGATTATACAAGTCTAGGCGGGCTGACCATACATATATTTTTGTTTTTATAGAAATAGCTTAAAAAAACATTAACATGATATATAAACTGTTAATTTACCCATAAAAACAACTAACAAATACATAATGAGATTTTTATTTTCTTAAATGAAAAGTTCTTTTGTCTTATTTACTTAACTTTAATATTACACTCTTTATTCTTCACTACTATCACATGTAGCGTAGCATAATGCTCGATGCAATCATTTATAAAAACAATATACATAAATTGCATAAATCTATGCACACATGAACTTTTTTTACAAAAATATTCAGTATTTTAATAGGAAATGAATCACAATGTCAACTGAAAGACTTGTATTACACGATTTGCTAAAATGTAAGTTAGAAAAAACATACAAATTCAATTAAGTAACAGTTAACAATAATTTATTGTTCTAAAAATTCAGTTACAATTGAAATAAATTCATGCGGTTTTTCTGCATGTACCCAATGTCCGGCATCAAGATAAGTGAATGAGGCCTTAGGGAAATATTTCAAAATCTTCTCATTGTCTCCAGGGCTGAAATGGAAAAAATTGAACAGCTTCACAAATACAATTTGTGCAAATTATAAAATAAATTTAACTTACGGCAAATAATCAGATTGCCTCCCACCAATAAATAGAGTAGGTTTGTCAAAGGTTTTAGTTATTTCTGGAAAATTTGCAATTTCGCTACTGAACGCTTTGGCCAATGATTTTAAGTTCAATTTCCACTTGAAACCTGCATTTGTTCTCACTAAATTTGTTAAAAGGAACTGCCGAACACTTTCGTCCTAAAAGTTAAACTTATTATAGGATATCTTTGAAACATAACTAAGCATAATGCAAGTGTATCAAACATGTTTTCGCTGATTATTTATTATTTAAAAACAAGGAGTATTACTTAGAACAAAGTTTCAAAATAGTAATTTTTTTCAACAAGCAGAGTTCAGTCACTCAGCTTCATCAGTAAATAAATCCACAATTATAAACTGAACTTAACATGAGCATTTAAAAGGCAGAGATAACAAATACAAAATCTATATGAAAGCTGATTTGATTAACCTAAGCGCTTTACTTCCAACTTTAAACCTTAATATTACTCAAAACTATAGAAGGAAGATGAAATAATCGGGAGTTTTACTCATATCGTTTGTTCCCTTTTTAACTTACTGTTAAAAAAAAATTAAGAATTATTTAAAGATTGTGAGATGCAGTCTGGTGTGACATAGGTTAGAAAAATTTATCTTTATTGAGCCAATGTTTCAATCTTTATTGAGATCATCATCAGAGCCTGGGATTTATAAACATTGTTTAAATTTGTGTAGAGGTTAGTGACCGTTAATTGATAGTCATTCAGATATCGTGAGATGCGGTCGGGTGTTGAGGTAGGTTTCAGAAAAACATTTTCTTTATCGTGCCAACGTTTCGATCTTTTATTGAGATCATCTTCAGGGCCTGGGATTTACAAACAATGTTTACATTTAACAAATAAATTGTAAATCCCAGGCCCTGAAGATGATCTCAATAAAAGATCGAAACATTGGCACAATAAAGAAAATGTTTTTCTGAAACCTACATCACACCTGACCGCATCTCACGATATCTGAATAACTATTGTTTAAATTATACAAAAACGCATAAGATGTGAAAATGAATTTATACAATAATGTTCACAATATATAAATGTTAGGTTTAATCGAAGTATTTGTACTCACTCAAAGTGTGTTTTCTGTGTAGTCGCGTCACTGTTGGGTATTTCGTGTTGAGAGTGTTAATGAGATTGTAATGTTTTTTGTTTATACATGTTTGATTTTGGAGGAGGGGGAGGATGCAGGGATAGAAATTGGTTTTTCTATGAGAAGTCGGCTTCTTTGAGGTGAAATGGATAGGCCTTTTTTAGGAAAGAAAATGTTTTTCTAACTTACATCACATCAGACTGCATCTCACCATATTTAAATAACCATTAATTCTACATGACCTAACCTCCAGACTTAACCACTGAAATCCAGCCCGGCCCTCTGACACTAAAAATTCATTACAACACTTGTATTAAAAGAAAGTGGCAGTGTCGGTAGGCCAGATCAGTAGAGAAAGGTAATCTTCACCCAATTAAAAAAACGCCATGCGATGTTGTCACACGATACTTTTGGGTCAAAACCTGAATATGTGTTTGGTGTGTAGAGAAAGGTTGCTCGATGGGTTGCATCTATTTGAAGGGTGCCATACCTTAGTTAAGTATAGAGAGCGAAGGAATGCCACCTGATATGAGAATGGTTCTCGAGCTTGGCAGTATTTGGCCCCTCTGTTCCGATTATTGTAGGAAACAGGGTTGTTTTATTGTACATGATAGTTTTATGTCACTTGGGTCTGTTGTTTATTAGCATGAATAATATGCCAATGGTAGAATACCCATCGATCCTCAATACCAAGTACTCCACCACCCTAACTGAGTCAATGGTTTGTAAATACGAAAGAATGTAATTAAGAGTGAGTGGGGTGGTTTTAGGAACTGATTGTGTTGGGGGCTGAAATGACCTAGCTGGTGGTAGCTCCTGGAGCCCAACCTCGACGGTTGGTCGGATAAGATTAGTCTGTCCTCGGACTGCCTACATCCGGGGTGGGTGATTCTCGTGGCCTGCCTATAGTTCATTGTAAATTGCAAAGGCCAGAATTGTGATGATTTGAGCTTAAAAAATAAGGATTGAACCTGCAGCATACATAGGTGCATACACAGTATCTTCATTTACCTAAAGGTTTATGTTTATTTTAATTAACCCTCAACACTACAGGCATGTCTGTAAGTCATGCAACTATTGATTTTGCCCTAGTCAGACACACACATAAATCTAGGTCAATATTTCAGGGTCATCGTTGCCGAGTGAAATGCTATTAAGAAACGTATAAGTTTGAGGCACTAACTTATGGATTTGGACATTATGCTTACGATCAATCAGCTTTACTCATGCTTAATGTGAACCGGTATAAAAATAACATAAATACAAAATGTAAATAACTCACTCACAGAAACAACTGAACTTATTTGCTGGTCTGCTTCTCTTCTTCCTTGGGACATAGTTAAATTTCTATCTATTGTGACATTTTCCATGATTTCAAAGTAAGATTGGAGAGAGTATATGTCACTGCTTGTCTTTATTGGCGATATATCCACAACAATTAATTTGTCAACAAATTCTGGCTGAAAATTATATAAAAATATGATATTAAATTGAAGCCGAGTGTATAAAAACAATAGTGCTTTTTATTAAGCTCTGCAGATTTTTTTTTTTTTTTGTAAGATAGTTTAAAATTAAATGGTTAAATAATATGAAGAGTTCTGCAATGCGACAGACCTTTTTTTATTATACTGGTCTGCCTGTTCCCACTGTTTGTTTATCAGGTGTGTTGAGGCATTTTGCCATCTTCAGTGGTTGAATAGGCAGACTAGGGTGATCGGAAATGAGCAATATTATCACACAGTGTATAAAATTAAAAACAATTATCTTACATAATTGAGTGAATATAGCATCATTGATCTTCCTCCCATGCTATGTCCTAAAAGAGCAACATTTGTCATATTTGAAGATTTTATAAAAAAATTGATATCCTTTATCATATGGTAATAAGAAAATTCATCAGTATGAGGACTATCGCCATGGTTTCTTGCATCCAATGCAATAACCTAAACAAACAGATAATGAAAAAGCTGTATAGTTTTATGTATGAAATTTGTGTGAAATTAAAAGCATTTTTCAAAAATAAATAATTATGAGGAAAAAATGGAAAAAAGCGTCTGCCAAGCAAGGGAAAATCAGTTGGTATATTTTAGATTATTTAGATATAGAACAAGGAGCAAGATTGGGCCTTAAATAAACTTCTTATATTATGGGCATGCAGAGGAAGGTCACACAATTGAAAAATGGTTCATTACACTAGCCCAAAGATGGTTTCTGAGTTCCATGACACCTTCCTGTCCTCAGTTAAAGTTTATTTTCTGCACATCATTAAATAAGATTTTTTAAAAATAATTTTCTCTATCTTTGTTTCATGTTGATGATGATGAAGGATACTAGGAAGCTAGGGCTTGGTATTTCCTAAGTACTGCAACGTTTTGATTTATTATTTCGCCACAGACCCACCTATACGTACATAAACATTCAATCTTTTAAATACATTCATACAATATGTACATTGTACAATTTAGGGGAATCACTAGGGTATTTGATATTACACTAGTGCCTTCTGCCTTTCACTCTGAACACAATTACCCTAAAAAATCTAATTTGGTTGGTATTCTATATTCTTCGGAGCACACACACCCACTCTCTCTCTCTCTCTCTCCATCTAATATGCTAATAAATGCATTCATTCGGTAACTTACCTACCAGGGATATTCTATATTCCACCACAAACCCACCCATTCACTCACAAATTCACACTAATAAATACAGTCATCCTAAATTGGAAAAGCCATGTGTGGAAAGTCATTAAATGTGATGCATTTAACACTTCAGTTATCCATTCCTATTTGATATCCAATTAAATTTTCACTGCCATCTCTGCTGTGCCTTACAATTTGATCATGTTAACCTAATTATAAGTTCTGAGCCTATAGATGGTCTTTCAGATCCTTCTCTGGCCAGTTTGTCTGCTTGTTCATTATCCAAAATTCATTTATGCCCTGGCATCCAAGATATTGTCAGGTTGTTAAGTTTGCCCAGGTTTTGGCAATTTTGTTTGCAGTCACTGACTATTTTGGAAGTGACCTTTTCACATACTGTCTTTAGGGCTGTTTCACTGACTGATCTTATGAGAATTTTTTTTAAATCAGCGTAACCTCTTCTAAGATTTTATATGGTACAAGTATTTCTATTTATCCTTTCAGCAATAAATACTTACCTTAATTGTCAGTTGGAACTTTTTAATTTAATTGTTGTTTTACTAGAAATTTAATTTTTGACAAGCACTATTATTATTTTACTATAAGTAAACTGGCAAACTACAGTAGCCTAGTGGTTATCCCATTACACTCTTGGCTGGTCAACCCTAAGGTTGTTGGTTTGATTCGCTCCATCACCCCTGGAATTTTTGATCCATCATATAAACAAGAGAATGTACCATTAATACCGGGAGAGGTGGTAGCAGAAGACAGTATGGAACTCAGTAGACATGCACTCTAAGAGACTCATTTCAAACTTTACAGAGTATTAGGAATCAGAATAAATAAGAAGAGGTGGCAACAAACAGAATTATGTTTTTTTGACAGGACTCAATAGGCTAGAACCTTGGAGAATATAGAAATATGTGAAAAGTTAAACCCCACCCACCAGTCAATCAAAATAAGAAAAAGAACTTGGCAAATATTCTCCTAACTGAGCAGGATTGCAAAAGTGAATCGGAGACTAAGCACTAAAGCCCTATCGACAGCATAAAGTACCTGCCTACAGTGGCATACAGAAATGCAGCGTGGGCGACAAAAATGAAAAGCGAAACCAGAAATATTCTTGAACAGGGCCAAAAAAAATCTTACTACGATACCCAAAGACTTACAGGACAACATCCTCCATGCATCCCTTAAGCTCAACCTGCAGGCAGCATCCTTCAAAGCAAGACTTAGACAAATAAAAGACGGGAAAGAACTGAACTTATCAGAAGTTGAAGATCATGATCTGGACTGTCTCAAAAGTGCTCCAGAAAAACAATGTTTGCAGTTTATGAAAAAGTGGATAGATGCAAGATGGCAAACAAGGTTAGGTTGACTTTCAAATTCTTCCCTAAAATTGAAGAGAGGGCAAAAGTTAACTGGTTGCTGTCTGATCACAATGTGATGCAAATGCTAATGAGCCACGGAAATTACACGTACGAAACAGCCCGTTATGTTCTGTGTGCCAAGTGGAAAGTAGCACACAAAGTTTTCGTATGCCTTCATCAATAAAAAGAAAGGGAAAAATTAAAAGACTCATTCCCAAAAAACTGGCCACCTGACTTGAACGAAATGATAAACGAAAAAACATTGTTTCAGGGTTTATAAATTGTTTAACGAGAGCATCATACATAATTTTTAGATCTACATTTATTTATTTTAGCATTTATTTATTTACCTATTGATTTGTCTATTTAGTTTTGTATGAAATGTTATTATTCACTGAATTAATCATATAATTAGTCCTGCACATATCTATTGTGCTATTTATTTATTTATTTACCTATTGATTTGTCTATTTAGTTTTGTATGAAATGTTATTATTCACTGAATTATTCATATAATTAGTCCTGCACATATCTATTGTGCTATTTATTTATTTATTGAATTTATTGTATATACACAAATTATATTGTTACATGCATAATTAATTTCAAACCTGGCTAGTGTCTTCTACATACTGTAAAAGGGAGATTCATTACGGTACCTTTTTTGATGTAAGTTTTAAAGGAAAAAAAACCACAACTTCTTTTAGCCTCGCCTTTAACCAGACAAGACCTAGGAAAGGAGTTAGGTTAACTACCCCCTACTGCCCAAAATTTTAGTAAATTGTCACAGTGTGCTGGTACAATGTCTTCCTAAGATACGGCAGGGTGGTGGATGGAAAAAAAAGGATTATAACTCTGGAGAGAAAAATGTTTTGTGCTTTATAGTACAATCATGAAAGAGGAATATTTTGAACATTGCCACAAAAAGAAAAAGTAATAAAATTCATTGATGAACTTCAATAGTGTACTGTAGTAGAGCATGGATCAAAAACAATCAACTTGTAGGGTATAATCATACCTTCTACATTCTTAGTATAAAATAATCCTTAAATAAATAAATCCCATCCCAAGAACCCACCACATCCACCTTAATCGACGATGAACTCGAGGCCTTCTTGCCCCTTTAATCCCTTACACTGAGTGCCAGCATTGGCTGGCTTCTCATAGCATATGTCCTCCGGGTGCAACACTGGCGCTAGTGTTAGTGCTGCGACCGCATGATAAGAAAAACGTACAATGATCATATTTGTAATATATATGAATCTGTATAGGCTACAAATAAATATTAATTATAAAAAAATAATCTACTAATGAATTAATCAAATTAATCAGCAAAAAATACAATATTCTAATAACATGTTATCAGGATGCTAGCGATTCTTCATATGTGTACTCGTTTATGCTGAAACTACAACAAACTGCTTTATTTACTGTAAACAGCAACTAATATCACGACAAAAATTAAAAATGAACTAAATTGAAAAATTGCTACTGCAAACCTAAATGTTTCAATTGAGTCGATGATCGCCAGGCTAAATTACCTTTCTTTTCGTTTTGAGATGCAATGTCTTCGAAAGTGAGTGCCAATTACTTTTGGAGCCGAAAATGCCATGCATTATAAGCAGCGGAGATTTACCCGTCAAATCATCTATGTTAGTGCTTTCATACGAAGCGAATGACATCTTAATTGGTGAAATTCTGAAAAAAATAAACGAAATATTATTACGGACTAAATGCTCATTTTATTTTCAAATAGTTCCAATCTTGGACAATATAAACATAAGTTATTTATTAATGATTTCTATTTGTACTCACAGTGGCTTTAAAATATCATATTATTTGTAAATTTTTAATTAAATAATATTATTATTAATTTATAAGTTTATAAAAAAGTTTAATAAATAATTAATATTTATTTAACATAAAGTTAAAGCTTTGAATTCCGCTCGTGACACTGACTTTTTTATCTCAACCAAGACCTTACATGGAATGAATAATTAATTGAAATAAAGTTAAAGGTTTTAATTAATAATATAATTAAATTGGAAAATATTAAACAAAGAAAAAACCAAAAGCAACTGTAAATATGTAGACAAGATTGTTAATTATTTGCAAACAAAATAAGTTAATCCTACTGAGAAACAGAGTAATGTATTTATTTAGTTTTTTTTCTAATATTGTGAATTGTCAATGCCTGTGAATTCAAAAATTAATTTAAAATTACTTGTAAATCTGATGGTTTGATTTGATGAAGAATTGTAGTTTCCTTAATGAAAAAGGTCTTAACTATCCAGTGATTGATAAAATATTAAAATGAAGTTTATATAGTGAAGAGAAAAAAAGCACAAAAAGCACTGAGCCTGTTGTAAAAACAAAGATACTGGAATATACAAACGATGTTATTTACAGCCAGGTAAAATGAGATATTATAAACAACAAAAATTGTCAAAAATTACTCAATGAACTCAGCAAATGAAATTAGTAAATGTGTATAGGCAAAAATTCATCTGAGTTACCAAAATGATAAGCAACGACCAAGCTGAAGCTGCTTAATGCGTCAATTTTTTGGACAAGCTTCAGAACTGGTTGGTGCACATATTTACATAATTTTGGACAGTCAAGCAGCTACAATATGTAATAAATTTGTAGGATTTTAATTAACTCAAAATTAGTGAACAGCAACTAGCTGAACCGGAGTATGTGCTTAAGTGTAACTGGTAAAATGGCCTGAGAAAGAAAAACTCAAGCATTGGACAAAAGACCAAGTATCAGGCAAGCTAAGAGAATTATAAATCGCTCAAGAAGGAAGGCAAAAGAGGTATTTCTCAGCAAGCAAGATGTGAGGAAAATCTTAACTACAAGACAGAAACATGCTGCTCTGTCAAGAGAAACAGTACATTGGCACTTTGAGAATGTGAACGGCTCCAGGTGGACAAATATGCAACGTATAAGGTGACAACCAGGAGACTGAAAAAGTTCGGGGAGTTGCAGGTTGGGGATTGCTGCTTCAAAGCCATGAGTTCGAGTATCTAAGCTTGATACTCACTAAAAAGAATGAGGTACAGGGCATCAAATCAAGGGATTGCAAGAAATATGTGTTCCTCTGCTTTAAATTATACCCTTTGGAATAGAAAAGTATCCAGAAAAGTAAAACTATAAAACAGTTCAGACTTGGACAATGACTAATGCGGTAATGAAGCTGAATTGTTGGGAGAGGAAGAATCTGTGTTGTGGACAATGGAAGGTACAGAATAAGAAAAAATTAGAAGCTGAAGAATCTGGGCCAGCTAATAATAACCAATACTTTGGATCTATGATCCATCTAATGTAAGTAGTTGGTCATTTTTTAAAATAATTTTACATGCAAATGTAGTCAAAAAGAAAAAGAAATATAAATGCTGTAAATAAAACAAAGAAAGTAGAAAAGTATACATCTTATTTATTATCAACTCATATCTATAAATCCATGCGTGCCTTGCATAACGAATCAAGTGTAGAGAATCTGAGTCCCCAAACCCCCTGACAGAGTGAAGAAACCGAGTTGAAACAAATTTCACCCAGAATTGAACACTGCCAAAAAGTGATATACGGATTCAATGGCATGAGAGTTGCAGAGGGAACAGAAACCCGAACCATCTCGAACATAACTTAAATAGCCACTGGATAAATAAAAATAATAAAAAAAATTTGTTTACATCAAATAATGCTTGAGAAGTTTTTAACTTTTTATATAAGTACAGGTGAGAAGGCGCTAGGACACGATAAGACCATCATTATAGTGCTGAGTGTTTTATTTTAAATAAAAAAACAGAAAAATGCTCATTCCAGTCAGAGATGTTTTCTATGGAAAAGGAAAAATCAATATCATACTTCAAGAATAGCAACCTCCGATGGAAGAACCACAAAATCCTAAAATACATTATTTTCATGGATGTAATTTTTGAAAATTTCAAATCTGGGAACTCAGTGCCTTCAAAAGATTGAATAAAGTGCAGCTTAAGCATGGAAACAAACATTAAATCAGTTTCCAAATACAAAAGATAACTGGAGTACCACATGGCAAAGTAAATAGTTCTCTTATAAAGAAATGTGATATTTGGTTGATCTGCATATCTCCATATTTCATTTTCACAGATAGCTTAGATAATGAATGGAGAGGAGTGTACCTAGTTTGACCTGCAATTGGGTAGAAGTGAGATGCACAAGCTTCTGAATTTTTATTTGGAGATTGTGAGATGCGGTCTGGTGTGACGTTTAGAAAAACATTTTCTTTATTGGGCCAACGTTTCAATCTTTACTGAGTTTCTTATGAATTTTGAAAGCTCCTACAATATTTCTATGAAAAAGGATAAGTTGTAAATCGATTTTGTTGATGTTGGATTCAAAAAGTTCTTTGAAAAGCTTAAAAAACCTCAATTTGAAGTTTGGCGGAGATTATTTAGTAGCTTGGGTAGCAAAAAGAGTAATAGAATTGTAAAATGATAAAGGTACCAATATAATTTTTTTGGGGCCACACTAGAATTAGAAGGAATTCTAATGTCAATATCCTTGCAAAATGGGCTATCTATGAGGGTAAAACCCTAGTTGTCCAGATTCCCCATCAAGATGCAAAATTAAGTATCAATGCCATAATTCATAAATGGCGCAAATATCGTAATGATTTAACAATGGGAGCATTTTATACCTCAATAAACCTCGTGTTAAATAAGCATCCCCGGTTTCAAGAACTAACCTGGACAAAAAGAGATAGGACAATAATAACCAGGCTTAGATCGGGCCATGGCATATGTGAGGTGTATCTGCATAAAATAAAACAGCGGAGTTGTAATTTATGTAGAACATGCAACACCATTGAGGATTTAGAACATGTGATGGCTTGCTCTGGATATGGGGAGAGAAAAATTTTTCTGGACAGAATAAATGCAATGAAGGGTACTGTTACCGGTAAATTGTAAAATCTCGCTTAATTTATACTATGTAGAAATATATAAATGCCTACTAGACTTTGTTTGGTATAGAATAGAAAGGGATATCTGAGGTCATGCAGTGGGTGTTCTGGGGTCGGTCGAGTCAGTTGCTGCTGTCTTGTGGGTGGCTTCCTGAGCATGTGGGGGTCTTGGAGGTTTGCTCTTTTCCATGAATGTTTTGAAACAAATGGTTTTTATCCACACCTCCAAAAAGACCTCCGCAATGGAAAAATCAAATAATAGGATTGAAGGAAAATAAATAGATAAGTCTACTCTCTCAAAAAATTGTTAAATTAGTAAGCTTAACATTGATTGGGATTGTGTCTTGGGTTATAATAGATGACCAGGTTTAGTTTAACACCAATTTTGCTGTCAACGCCTTTAATCTGTTCAGGTAGATGGATTTGTTTGGTGAAGTAAAGGAAGAGAAATTGTCCTCTGTCCTTATAAAGGACATCCGTGTGGTAAAAGATCACAAGTTATACCCCATTTAAGATGGCTGGAAGACCTTGGAAAGATTAGAGCGAGGCAGTGGAGAAGGAATTCACCACAACACTTGGCAGGTCTTGTTAAAGGAGGTTAGTACATGAACCATAGAGCCAAACAGTAAGTTATCCACAGCTCCAAAAAGACCTCCGAAATGGAAAAATCCAATAACAGGATTAAAGGAAAATAAATAGGTAAGTCTACCCTCTCTCCCCATTTGTTGGTTGCAGCCAGGTTGGCAGGCTCTGTATGCCTGGGCGGTGCTGACCTCTTGGCATGTGTCTATTTCCATGGCTAAAGTTGGACTTTTTCTATCCTCTCGAATCTCTGGAAACTCCACATCTGTCAACTGTAACGAAGTATCGCACAGTGTTATATACAGATCCCGCTGGTATGGGGTCTCCCTTAGGCACAGCAAGGTGAATGGTGGAAAAAAAAGTTAAATATTGTAAGCTTAACATTGATCAGGATTGTGTCTTGGGTTATAATAGATGACCAGGTTTGGTTTAACGCCAAGTTTGCTGTCAATGTCTTTAATCCGTACAGGTAGATGGATTTGTTTGGTGAAATAAAGGAAGAGAAATTTAAGATGGCTGGAAGACCTCGGAAAGATGACAGCGAGGCAGTGGAGAAGGAATTCAACACGACACCTGGCAGGTCTTGTAAAAGGAGGTTAGTACATGAACTATAGAGCCAAAGAGTAAGTTATCGACACCTCCAAAAAGACCTCCGAAATGGAAAAATCCAATAATTGGATTAAAGGAAAATAATTAGGTAAGTCTACCCTCTCTTCCCACTCATTGGCTGCAGCCAGGTTGGCTCTATATGCCTGGCCGGTGCCGACTTCTTGGCAAGTGTCTATTTCCATGGCTAAAGTTAGACTTTTTCTACCACCTCGAATCTCTGGAAACTTTACATTTGATAGCCATAACAGAGTATCGCACAGTGTTATATACAGATCCCACTGGTATGGGGTCTCCCTTAGGCACGGCAAGATGAATGATTTAAAAAAATGTTAAATGCTTAATAAAAGCATAATATTGATTGGGATCGTGTCTTGGGTGATAATAGACAACCAGGTTTGGTTTAACGTCAAGTTTGCTGCCACCTTTAATACATACATGTAGAGAAATTGTCCCCTGTTCTTATGAGGGACATCTGGGTAGTAAAAGATCACAAGTAATACCCAATTTAAGATGGCTGGAAGACCTTGGAAAGATATCAGCGAGGCAGTGGAGAAGGAATTCACCATGACACCTGGCAGGTCTTGTTAAAGGAGGTAGGTACATAAACCATAGAACCAAAGAGTAAGTAATATGTGGTCTATGATGACAACAATTTTATTGTGAAGACAATTCAATAAGCTATTTAATTTTTCATTTATCTTTAGCTCTTTTACAATCAGAGGAATCTGGATTAACCAGTCTCTTTTCATTAAAAGGTTTGGCCAGAAACTATGTCTTACAGGCCAATTCTATTTTACATTCCAATTGATACCAAAGGCTTCTCATTTATAAATTATTTCTTAAAGATAATGAAATAATTAATGGTGTTTTTTATAAATAAATATAAGCCTTTAGTTCTAGGTTTTCCAGCACCTGCTGGAACTAAAGGCTTATATTTATTTATAAAAAACACCATTATGGAGTTCCACAGCAAGAACGGTGCCACACTCAACAACATCTCAAATAATTAATGAAAAATTGTGGCTTGTTTTTTTTTTTTTCATTTTACAAAATCGTAACTTACCCCTCACCAGTGTGGATGCCGGTACGGGAAATTATCGGTGTTAGTTTGTTAATTTTGGTTGCATCGCGAAAGAGCAGAACGTTATTCAAAAATCTGATCATTTTATGTAAAAGATATGAATTAAAAAAAAATATATATATAAAAATAAAGGGCTCCGAATACAATTCTGCTGTACCAGAACCCGAACGTGTTATCATACAAATATCATACAAGATAAAGAGTTAACAGTCCGCAGAAACAGCATGTTAAGGTTTCGGTTACAGAGATGAAACCCAAGAGGCGTCTGTTTCCAACAAGACTCCCAGAATCCCGCGTCACACCTGGAGCACTGCGCTTTTTTAAAATTCAGCGTTAACCGCCTCTTCTCAGGCGGTTAAATTACTATTACTTAAAATAATACTACTATTCGTACTGCATCAGAAGTACTACTTCTATCTTATGCAGAGAAATGTTGCTCGATGCGTCCAACATAATAGAAACTTGTCATCCCTTAGCTCTTTACAGAGAGCGTGTAGGCATGCCGCCGGATTTAAGAATGGTTCTCGAGTACGGTAGTTTCTGGGTTTCCAGTTCCTCTTTTTAGATGACTTTTATTTATATTGTACATAGATCTGTTTTATGTATTTTGTGGTTCTGTGTTTTGTCTGAGTGTGTAAATTTATTAGTGTGAGTGGTGAGGAGCCGACGTTGAAATGTAGTCACCATCATCCCTCCAGCAGTGTGTGTGTTTTAGCTTTTGAGTCAATGGCGGAATATTTATAAAAGTACTCCTTTGACCATAATTTAGATTAGCTTATTATAAATGATGATATATTTTAAATGGGTAATTTGCAGCTGAAATTTGGTGATTAGTTTTCCAGATTAGCTTATCACTATTGTATGTAAGTCTGTAATATCGACTACTCCACTGACTAACCAGAATGAGTGCAATGTACAAAGGTGTTTTAGTGACTGGGAGATTTTTGGTGGCCCTGGCAAAGGCCGGTGTCATTTTGAAGTTTGTTGAGACGATAAATTGAGGCAGGACCGTGTGTGTCTGCCATTGGTAGTGGTCCATGACCATGAAAGGGATGACTCTGCAGTAGGTAGCTGAGTGCAGCAGTTGTCCAGTAGCCAAGTCGGCTGTGTTGAGAAGGCGAGATCAAGTTTAATGCTGCAAGTACTCTTGCTGTCATTGTTGGTGATCCATTAGTGATTGGTGAGAACTCGTCGGAGGGATGAGTCTCAAAGTATGAAGTGAGGTCTTGTTGGGGAGATGAGTCAGTGGGGCAGTGCTATGAAATGGCTCTACTCTGCTTGCCTGTAGAGTGGAGAGTGAGACCATTCCAGAACTGATAGTAACACCTAGCCGGTATCATGGTAACTGCAGGTGGCCACCACAGTGTGAATGTATTTATTTGTGCAATTGTATTACAGATGTTAGTTGTAGGCTGAATTATATTTTGCAAGAATTGGAGGTGGAAATGACCTGGCTGAAAAGACCTTGGAGTCTAACCTGGTTGGTTGGGAAGTGACTATCTCCTGAGCATCTGGCTCAAGAGAGATACTAGTGACCCTGCCACATAATGGTGTAGGTGAACTCCCCTGAGGTATAGCCTCTACAGGTCAGCACTGCTGGGAGTGACAACCCTTTGGGGTGAAAGTCCAATACTATCTTACAAGAACAGTTCACCTCCACTTAGAGGTCTGGGATTTTGGTGGCCCTGAGAAGGTTGGGTGTTATGGGTGGAGCCGATGGTCAAAGTCCATGGACTGATGTTGAGGAGCCAGATGTTGTTGCAGCGGGAGTCACTTGGTAGCAAGTGAAAGGACTCGCGCAGCAGGCAGCCACGAGCTGTTGAGAGTGCAAGAGATGATGCTGCGAGTACCCTTGTTGATGGTTGAGACCTTGTCGACAAGTATATAAAAGCAGGTTGAGCTCCTGCTTATGTACAGAGCAGCTGCAAGCTCATTGGTTGCAGCTTTGAATGTGAGACCACTGTTAAAGCAGTGCTGACAACTAATTGATAACTTGTGAACCACAGGTGATCACCACAATAAGAAAGGATTTTTCTTGGGTTACCTGGGCTTACGGGACTCAAGTAATGTGGGGTATTGCTGAAGGTTTCAAATGGAAATGACAGTATAAAAGTTGCTCAATAGTGTCGAAATTAGGATGGTGGTTTAATGATAGGAATGTGCCAGCTGGTAACTGGTAAAAAAGTGAAGAAAGTATTAGGTTAGGCAGAGGAAAGTATGTCAAATGCCATATCAAGAAAAATACTACCTTAACTCAAGAGAGGTAGACGTAAGAAACACAACAGTACAGTGTTGCTGGATGGCTGTGTCTAAGGCTGCACCAGAGGTGTCTAGCTTGGCACATAGTTACTTGCCTGGTGATACATCCTTGTCAACAACCACCTAGAACATTTGAGATCAGTCATGTGATTCGCTTGGTGTTTCTCTCTAAACGAACAGTCAAGTCTATTTTTCCTGGCACGTTGCCAATTGGTTTTTAAAATTTGGTCATGGTTGATGACTCATTAATAGCTACAGTTTTTTTTTCTGTGATTAATATCTTGTTTTTGTAATTTATATGTAATGAGGTTGTAAGAATCTTGTCTTCATACTTCAAAGTTGTTTGTACAACACGATGAATTCACTATTTTCACTTCTTTCACAATTGACACGGTGTACTCAGCATTAAGAGACCCTCCGCAATCTTTCGTACTTCAAAGAAATATTCTCTGCCAAAAGCTTTTGTCTAGTCAATTTTGAGCTAGACATTTCAACAATGTAAATGATCAATAATGGTGACAGGCTTTGATGCTTTGGTGTGGCCACTACGAATCTAGGCACTAGGTACCAGGTGAGCCATCAGGTAACTAGGCTAGGCACCAAGCGACCTCTGGGGGGGGGGCCTTAGCTGGGTGACACCTGCAAAAACCAAACTGATGGTTGGGGTTTTGGGAATTTAGGATTGGGAGAATTCGTTTTAAAATAAGATATTTTAGAACTAGTCTGTCAGGCCTATGCCTGTAGGAATTTGGTTGATGTGGTTTTTTTGATTTGTCATCATACAGGTGACAAATTGTTTCAAGGCCTACTTAATAGGTCACAAATATTATGGATTTCCTTGGAAGGTGTTTCAGAATTTAATTAAGGGTGTAGTCACGTTGAATACAGAAGCTTTGTTAGGTTTATGGTTGATACAATATACTGACCAATTGATGGAGGAAACAGTTTAGAAGTAAGAGATAAAGGGTGAGGGGTTAAAAAATATTCTTTGATGTTGGTGTAAACTCAACAGGTAAACAGCAAAATAATTGCAAAATAATTTACTTCTCGTCCGACTTGTACCAAAGATCAGGCGAAGAGGGTGGATCCCTTATGGTAGGACAGGATTTTCCTAGTTGCAACCCAGAGAAACTTTTGTTTTGTTACTTGCAGACCAACAACCACTACCATTATTTTGACTTGTTTGTTCGGTCGGTTCAAACTGATTTTCTGGAGAATTTATCTTTCAAAAGAAAGTTTGTTGTACTGATTTGTCAATAGTGTATGGAACCAATATGTGTTGGGTTTAGAAGGTATAGCTTTATATTTGGCATAGATTTGGTAGTGGCCCTGTTAGTTAGGCTTTAATACAATTTCTTCCTGCCCAACTGTTCTGACCTTGCCACTTATGTAGAATGTTGTCAGAAATGATTTTCCAATGCTGTTCTTTTGCAACACACTCCAGTGAATTAAATGTTTGGCAAATAGATGCATAGCTGTGCTGTTGGTTCTGTTCATCCAAGTCCACCTTTTATTACTTTTTCAGTCATTTAAGATTCACATAAGGATTGGTTTATAGTAAGTATTACATTGAATTATTTTTACACCTGAGTGTTATCTACTTAATGCTGACTATCTAATCTTAATTTGAATAAACAAACTTTATCGCAGTCACAGGAGAGAGGTGGGACACCTTGAAATGACAGGACGCATTCACTGGTGTAAACAGTAATATTAATGACTGGATGGTCAATAGATTCTTTCCTAACAAATATAAATACAAGTAAGCTTTTTAATATTCTTAATATGGTTGTATTCAATTTGTCAGATACTGAGTTTTCATCTCAGTCTTCAAAATATTTCAAAAGAAAGCGTACAATGAAATTTTTTGTTGAATATTTGTGATTATATGCTGCTATCTTGTACTAAAAGAAGTGAATTGATATATTTTCAGACAAGTTTTCAAATGGACTTAATGGAGTGTAATGACGCTCATCTTTGTGATGATGTAAGATATCAATTGATACATATTTCCAAATTACTCGACCAACAAAAGCAAGTTGCCAAGGTAAATTGTCATATCAATTAACTTATAAGTAAAGAAAGTCTAAGCTAAAATTTAAGGGGCCAGTATAAATGTTGACTATTTTGGACATTCATTATTACATAAAAAATCAAAATAGTAAAATTTATTATGTTACAAAGGCGAAACTTGCCAAAATGGACACGGAACGATTAATGGTTAAATTAAAAATAAACCGTATAAGCTAACACTAGACGCCCAAGATGAAAAGGATGAACTCAAGACATCTGCAGCAAGCCTGCAGTAGTTCACCGTTGAAACAAATTTAGTTCGTCTGTTATATCACGAGAGTATGATGTCTGCGGTGTGATGAACCTGTAATTTGGTAAATGATCATTTTGGTCTGTCAGAAACAACCAAAATACTGTGAGATTTTCTAATGGAGTTTGTGGGGTGATGAACCTGTTAAGGTTAAGTTTAATGGTTCAAAAGAAGCCAGATTCTTTGTCTTAGAATTTTATGTTGATCTAGAATCTTGCCATGATTCTATACTGATTTTTATTTTATTATTATATGAGTAGACGGCATAAATGCCTGTAAACACTCAACGTATCATAAAACAAACAATTAAAATTTACAAAGTTTCAGTTGAAGTTTCATGTTATGGCCATGACTTTTGAGGATGGATGTAGTGAGAAAAGTTGATGTGAAGTGACATATTTATTTGTAAGGATTGTATAAGTTTCAATGAGATCTCGCCTTTCTCTACAATCTTGAAGATTGTTAAATTTAGGAATTTAAGTCGGTCGATGTATTAGTATGACATGAATTTTTTTAGTCTTGGTAAAACATCTTTGAACTTTTTCTCCGAGTTTAATATCTTTTGGAAAGTAGGGGCTCCAAATACTACTTGCAAACTCTAGTATGGGTCAAACATAGGTAACATAAATATTTTAAGTATTTCAGGAGAAGGTGACGGAAATGTACATTTAACTTGGTATGTAAGAAAGCTTACTTTTTTCTGTTGGCGATGTCCAGGGTATGTTTATGTCACTTTAAGTCATTAGATATTGTTATCCCAAGTCTTTTTAAACTAATGTTTAGGCCAAAGAACTACTAATAAGTTTTTAGTGCCCAGATGGAGAACACAACACTTGTCAAGATTAAGATTAAGACCCGAAAGTAACGACTAGTCAGAAATCTTATCAATGCTCATTCGCAATTCAGTGAATGCAGTCAAGGGATTTTGGAATATCTTGGTATAATTGAAAGTACTGCTTTCATAGTTAATTTTATCCTTTGTACTACTGATACAAAGGATGAATAGAATTAGACCCAGGGCAAATCCTTGCGGAACAACAGACGACATTTTGCACCATGTTTTGTAAAAACAGAATGTTTTGAAACAAAGCCATGCTAAGTGAGAGGAATAGTTTTATTTAAGATTAACTGAATGAAGATAGGTCAATAATTTGACTATGGGTCTTGGAGCCTTTCTTGAAGGTAGGAGTAACAATAGCACCATTCTGGGGGCAAATAAGAATTATCAAAGAGAGTTTGAAATATTTGTACCAAAAGTTCAGCAATCGAGGAGGCAGAATTATTCAGGAAAGGTGACTGCCATCATAGCAAGATCATTATTTGAAAAGGTAAGATGGTCCATGTACAGAAGAGAATTCCTCAGCAAATAACTCTACTAATCTTTCAGTCGACAAACCTAGTTGATTAGCATCAGGTTCAATTAATGGAAAAAACATTTCTTTATGTTTAAAATTAAGATTAGATCAGATATTGTGAATTTTTGGCCAAAAGTTTGTTTCCGTAATCAGAACGAGCTTTAAACCAGTATTTAGAGATTATAAACTTTTAGACTAATTAGAGTATGAGTGAGTCTAGGTCTTAAAAGCCCTAATGTAGAACCTGCGGAACAAGCAGAAATTCATAGACAAAAATAATAAATAAATCGCAAGGCTGATCTTTGGCAAGTGTTGTCAACATTTCAAAATCTATCCTGGTTATTGTTGTAGTTTAACTTTGACTAAATTTTTTAGGAATTTATTTTGGAATGTAAAAAAGCAACTGATAAATTGTCTAATGAGATCAAATTTATGAAAAAGAAATTTAAAGAAATGGCAAAACTCCTTGAGGAATTAGCTGAAACAGTGGAGTTAAATTCTTCAAATGCCAAATTTTCAAATTCTGGCTCCAATAATGTCTCAGTGACTGGTGTGCAAATTCCGATAAATACTAATGGTACAATCTTTTAATTAGCATTATCTTAGCCACAAACTATTTTTCAAATAAACACATTCACCAAGTTTAATTTTAAAAGACCTCTTTTGTAGGACATTTAATATGGGTCATAGATAATTTTCAAACTAAAATGGAAAGTGCAGTTGAAGAGCAAAATGTTCTATGCAGCCCTTCATTTTTAACCAGTGAATTTGGCTACAAGTTTGAAGTATGCTGTTGATAAAATGTCTAACAATAAAATTTGAAAATTGTTCTTCTAATTTTAACAGGTTGTAGCGTATTTAAACGGAACAGGACAATGGACAGATAGATGCATGCTGTTTTCCATAGAGCATTGTCCAACGCCTTGGGATGTCATCCTTCCTTGGCCATGCAGAGTGAAAATCATATTCACGCTAATTGACCAAAGCAGAGACAGGACAAAGGTAGCTGTGTTGATATCTGACTTTGCTCATTAATTCACCAATTGTAAATTTGTAGGCAAAAGATGTAACAAAGCTGTTTAAAAACGTTATTATAAATGAGAAGAAAAAAGCTTTCAGGACATTTTTATCAAAAGAAATATTAAAAGAAAAACAGTATCTCAACAATGGGTCAATTCTTATTGTATTAAGTGTAAAAGAGATCCATGCAGATGGTGAGAAATAAAATTATATTAATATTTATACTATTCTTGATACGAGTTACTTAAAATAAAATCGATTGAGATAAATTTGTATGTTATTCCTTTGAAAATAGTTTTATTGATTGTAAACAGAAGAGCAAGGCAGAAGCAGAATGCACAAAAGTAGGTGAAATCAATGTTCATCAATTATGATAAATAATTGAACAAACAAATCATACATGTGCTAATGATATAATTAATTTAGGAACTTTTAGCCTAAATTGACATTCTCATTAAAGGCTTTTAGTATAACTTTGATTTTACAAAGAGGTTATTCAATTTCAAGAAACATTCCAGCAATTAATGAACATCTCTAAAGACAAACCAGATTTCAATAGCTGTTAATAAATGTTATATACCAAATATACTTATTAAGAAGCATCATCAGTAATTAATAATTAGTATACAAATGATTTAAGACTGTATAGAGAAGAATAAGAAAGAACTGGAATTAAAAATGCAGCAGGCTAATCGAAGAAATTCAGAAAATGTGTCTTCTGAACAAACAACCAAAATTTGCTACACACATAATTGTGTGTAAGTTAACAAATTGCAGTTAAATACAAGATCAGCGACATTGTAGAGCTTTTGCAAAAGTATCCGAAAGCCTACAAGATATCAAATCTGCACACAAAATGCTGAAATAGCAAATTAAGGATGATAATGACAGGATTGATATAGGAAAAGATTTGTGACACTAGTTGGAAATGGTAAGAAAAGTCAGAGCGAAACCAGCAGAGGACACTGTAGGAGAAAGAGAAGGTTTTAAGTTTAGTAAGGCGAAGAAAATGATCAAAGGTTTTAGAAAAATAGAGAGGAACAAGAACTATACCCACATTAAAGGCTAAGAATCAACGATTCAGCTAAAAAGTCGACAAGAGAGACTACAAGATTGTTCAAACAGTCTAGAAGATACGAAATTCAATGCCAATTATTAACATTTAAAAACTAAAAAATGACAATATAAGCCTAGTAGTTATTAAACATATTTTCTTATCAAAACACAAACTTATTCGGCTTCAACCTTGTGAAAATCCTGAAAGGACTTACAGTTTTTTCCACCAAATTACCTCTTTTTCATTTCAAATTAACCCTTTTAAATTTGAAATTAAACCTTTCTTTAAATCAGTAAAAAAGTTAAAAATCAGGACATTTTTACAATTAAAATATATATACAATTAATAAACAAACAAATTATTCTTCTATTATAAGTTAGAGATTTTAAAAAAATAAAAATATTGTGCCCTGATATAAACACCATATGAACATTAATTAATTTTTTTATATTTTAAATAAATAAAGGCATTCTCTTTCCACTTGGGTCATTTTCTTGCTTGATTTTAAACACAATGGCACACTGAATGGTAAACCCAAGGTAGGTGGAAACCATGGAACAGCTGTACCGCCCAGGGGATGAAAGTCGTTGAATTTTTTTTTCTTCTTCTTTACTTATTGACCTTCTGATGTGTAGATGTGTCACAGATCAGGGGCTTCAATTTTGACATTGTAAGGCCCTCTGAGGCACTTCTGGCCCCTGCCAAACTCGATCCCATAAGCGCATACAACTGTGATAATTAAATTTTACGGAAGTAAAATTTATTTTTGTAGAAAGTGTCACCTAAACTTTAAGGCTAGATAGTACCAAGTTATATTTTTGAAATTAGACTAGATTCCTAATTCACAATAACAAACTCAATTCCTTTAGAACATGGAACATATTAGAGATGATGCTGTCCTATTCTCAATCCTCCAAGGGCAGTTTCCTCTTCTCCTGAGGTCTAGGAGTACAGTAACGTAATGCTTATTTCACAGAGCTTGTTGTTTCCTTTGCTACTTCACTCTCTCTGCCATTGTATCCAGATATTATGTTTAATGAGAGAGCCGAGGTCACTGGTCGATATGTCCTTAAACCATTTCACTGTGGCAACTTTGGCCGCCTTGTTGGTATTTTACTGCCCTATTATACTGCAATGGCTAGGCATCCACATAAAATCTACAGTTGAACTCCAATTTTTGGGATTCCTTAGAGCATAAAATATCCATTGTGTTAAGGCTGATGAAGTTGATTAAAAAGAATTTAAAAAAAAATGGAGAAAAAAAGGGAAAAATTATCAATAATAATTAATTTAAAAAAGGTTTAGCAATAAATAAATCAATCAAGTAACGGCGAGAGTGTGTATTCTGTAATTGTAATTTATTTACCCACTTCCTTCCTGTAGGGATTTGCTGCACAAAGCGCAAAGAACTCGGGCCCAATTCCTTCTGACTTCATGGCAGTTGTTTCAACAAATGTCCAGTGGATATGAGAAATGGTCAAATACAGTAAAAATGTGTGTGGGGATTCCATGAGATATTAATGGTTTTATGCTATTTGTAATACTATGTAAAATAAGAAGCAAATCGTAAAGGGTATGCAACGAATGAGAGCAGGACTAAAACTGAATATTAATTCAGTATAAAGGTATGATGGAGCAGGGAAGGGATTACTTTACCTTAAATAAAACAACTTAATCCTCTGGAGGATTGGCGTAAACACCTAGTATTAAAACACTATAGGTGAAAATATTTTGAATAGCGTGTAGGACAGACAGAAAATAGGTGCAAATTATTATTTCTTTTTTGGATGACAATATACTTAATCACCTTGTAGATGGCAAGCAATTTAGCAAAAACCTGCTACAAATCTGAGAAAGTGAAAAATAATACTTTCTTTTTTCACATACGAAGGCAGCCCCAACTCCATCTATGCTTTTTGGCCTGTCTGTATGTATGAAAACAGCGTCTTTAAGATTGCTTTTTATGTTCAAAAATTCTTGTTGGTAGTGTATGGGAGGGGTTGAATTTTTGGAAGTTTGGAAACCAGGGAGAGGAGCAGCTTACAGTTCTGTCTTATATTATTTTAAAGTATGTGAATAATTAATGTTTATATAAGGTATTGGTTGAGATAAAAAAGTCAGTGTCACGTGCGGGATTCGAACCCACGACCTTCGGCTAAATACGCCGCTGCTCTACCACTTGAGAGTGATTTCAATCCAACTTCCCATCTCAACCCCACCTTTCGAATTTTCCCTCCTTTTTGCCATTTTACCTTATATAAAGATTAATTAATTGAAAAACGTAATTCGGTCAATCAGACCACGAACTCAACTCTAATGAATTTAATATGTGAATAATAATCTAAAATTTAAGATAGTTTGAGAGATGCAAATTGGAAAATGTTTTCTTGAGTAACTGTCATATTCTTCCAGGGAAATGAGCTGTTTGGCTGCCAAAAAATGTATTGTAGGGAAGAGAAGTGTGTTTTCATTTTGCAAGTATGACAGCAAGAGTTTCAGACTCTGAAATTGTAAATCTGCCAGTTAGTTACATCATCAAGTGTATTTTGCATGTTAAATTCCACGGTCTTGATGTTTTTACTCATGCAGTAAATTATTAGGCCATCCTGTATAGTATACTGCGAACTGGTAACTTTACAGATTCAGAGACATTATTTAATGCTATGCAAAATAATAGCATGCTCAGGACAAATCCCTGTGGTATGCAGTTTCCTTGTATAAATTCTTTGGAAAAGGAATTGTTGCATCTGACTTTATGCACCTTGACAATAAAGGTAAAGGGGTGTCCATCTATTCCATAACTTCTTAAGGAGTCTATTATTTTTATTCATCTCAATGTATGATCAAAGGCATTTTCTAAATCAAGAAAAACTACTAATAGTTTTTCTCTGCAAGTGAAAGCATAATGTACCTCAGTCTCCAAATTAACAAGGTTGTCTTGTGTACTCCTGCTTCTTTTGAAACCACTCAGCCAAGAAGAAAGAAAATAATTGTGTTTCAAGAACCAGACCCAACATATTGGCTATTATTTTTTCTACTAGTTTGCACAATGAACATGTCAAAGAAATAAGGTGATAACTATTAACTTCATGAGCTTGTTTATTCTTTTTTAGAATAGGAATATTTTTGCACAGGACCAAATTTTTGGGAAAATGCCTAATACGGAAATTTTGTTAAAAATTTCTACAACAATGTGGCCAGAATTAACTGTAGCTAATATTTTATAGAAGTACTTTCCTAGGTAATCGGTTATTTCTTTTGGATTATTAATTTGTTTTCTCTAAGAATTTATGCCAGAGTTTCTTACTGAATTTAGTTTGTTGTTAATGCAGGATGAGTGTTATTATTAAAGAGTAAAGACCGGATTCCCATGCAATTGCATCTTTTTATTGCTCACTCTGATTGCAATGAAACCAAGACAGAAATTTGTTTCATAGAAAGGAGGTCCTTTATTATTATGCGTTATTGCATGAAATTGCACATTTTTACAGTTTACTGCACAAAATTGCATTTTTTCCCATTTTTTTATGCATCAAAACAATGTAAAAATACATCATTTTTGCTATTGACTTGCTATTTGCAATCCGTTTTCCCATGACTATTGCTCAAACAGGCCACTAGTTTTATGCAAGAGACCAATATTTATATTTAAAAAATCTCGAATCAATAATAAAAGGATCATTTGTTAAACATATATTTAATGGTATATAACTTTTATTTTTAATTGTAATTGATTTTCTTATGGTTTTACATTTTTGTATTGCTTTTCTTTAAAATTTAATTTTGGTTAATTTAAAATTAAAATGCGTCAATTAGATGTTAAAAAGATTAACTTCCATTTAAAAGGGTTTATTTGATATTAAAAAGATTAACTTGAAGTTAAAAAAGATTTAATTCAAAATTAAAAAGTGTCAATTTGATGTTAAAAAGATTAACTTGAAGTAAAAAAGGTTTATTTGATATAAAAAAGATTAACTTGAAGTAAAAAAGTGTTAAATTTGAAATTAAAAAGGGATAATTAAAATAAAAGGTTAACTTGAAATTAAAAATTGTTAATTTGAAATAAAAAAGGTTAATTAGGTGATAAATAGATTAACTTGAAGTTAAAACGGGTTAATTGAAATGAAAGGTTAAGTTGAAATTAAAAATTGTTAATTTGAAGTTAAAAAAAGGCTAATTGGATGTTAAAAAGGGTTAATTGAAATGAAAGGTTAATTTGAAGTAAAAAAAGGTTAATTGGATGTTAAAAAGATTAACTTGAAGTTAAAAAGGTTTATTTGATATAAAAAACATTAACTTGAAGTAAAAAAGTGTTACATTTGAAATTAAAAAGGGATAATTAAAATAAAAGATTAACTCGAAATTAAAAACTGTTAATTTGAAATAAAAAAAGGTTACTTTGGTGTTAAATAGATTATTTTGAAGTTAAAAAAGGTTAATTGAAATGAAAGGTTAAGTTGAAATTAAAAATTGTTAATTTGAAGTTAAAAAAAAGTTAATTGGTTGTTAAAAAGGGTTAATTGAAATTAAAGGTTGATTTGAAGTAAAAAAAGGTTAATTGGATGTTAAAAATACTATTAGTCCTTTCAGGATTATCAAGGTTTTGGCCAAATAAATTTGTGTTTTCATAAGAAAATATTAAAAAAAAAACTGTTAGGCATGCATTGCCAAATTTTTTCCCCTCAACTTTTTTGAATAGTTCGAGGATACCGCTCCCACTGAGTTGATGACATAATCCGTGACGTCATAGATGAACCCTCCCCTCCATGTGACGCTCAGCTGTTTCCAGCTGTGACATCTCGGTCGTTACACTGTCCAAGGAGCGGGAGGAACAGATGACTGATAACCTTCTTGTGTTTTGTTAACCTTGTACTTGGTGCACAGCGCACCCGTTTCATGCCAGTTCTGTTCATATACGCACTTGTTTATGGTGTCTAGGGGCTAGTCTGTTTAAAATTTCCTATCGCCTGTACACTGCCGATGGAAGGACGCGAGTTGCGAACTCTACCAGCTTTTCCCCTCTAAAGATCCAGCCTCGGATCTCGCGGAAAAAAAAAATTTCGAGGATGTTTTAGTTCGAACAAGTTAAGGATGTCTTGGTATATGCAATGGTCGGACAGCATAAAGAAGAGGGCCTGCCGTTACCTGTTGCAGAGGTACGTCGGGCAGTTCCTTGAAGAGAAACTGACACTCGACAAGTTGTCAGTTAACATTTGCTCTGGTACTGGATCTGTTTCCAACGTCAGTCTTGACGCACAGGTTCGTCAATTCCATTTATTTATTTTATTTTGACTTCTGTTTCCAGTTACAGTCACGGTTTATTTTTTAAGATGGATCAACCTTTAATTTTGTCAAAAGTTTAAGATTCTTCCGTTTTGATTGTTAACGAGAGAGTCGTAATGACGCAGTTTGTTTCTCTTTTATTTACGATTTCGGTTGTCCTCAGTCACTAAATTATTTTGAATAAATAAATATTCATCGCCTTCTGGTGGCTCGCATAAAAAAGCCAAGTTTCAACGGTTTTCCTCATTCTCACAAAGAGCATTGTTTTCAATGTTTTTCATGATACAGATTGTAGTTATCTTGACCTATATTGTCCAGCTTACATTTATATACTTCAACCAATATTTTATTATTTGTCTCCAGATGAACCTGTAGTTTGATTGTTTTCAATCATTTTACGATACAAGTTAAGGTTATGAGATCAACGTTGATCTATTGTGCGATCTTCGTTATTATCTAGGGCTCTTTGTTGATCTAAAGGCTTTTTACCTGATCCCAAAGACATTTGTAATTATCATGTTTTACACAAATTTTTTAATCTGTTATATGGTGAGATTTTCTCTAGTGGTCTGCTGGATGATGGAACTGTACTTTGGTTGTTTCCAATCATTTTACGATACAAGTTAAGGTTACGAGACCAATGTTGATCTATTGTGTGATCTTCATTATTATCTAGGGCTCTTTGTTGATATAAAGGCTTTTTATCAGATCCAAAAGACATTTGTAATTGTTATAATTTACACAAACTTTTTAATCTGTTATATGGTGAGATGTCCTCCTGTGATCTGTTGGATGATGAACCTGTAATTTGGTCACCGATTGTTTTGGTGTGTTTATCCTCGCTGGATTGGTCTATCAGACGTGTTTCAGCATTTCTATGGAGAAAGTTCAGTGGTTGGCCACATACAAATTCAACATTAAAAACAGCAAAGATAGGTGACTGAAATGATATGAAACAATCAAACTACAAAAATATTGTGTGATTTTTCTGGTGACACCCCTTGGATTAATGCAGATTGGGGGTTAAAATGTGAGGGGCAATGGCTTGGCTGGGGTGTGATGCCCCCAGGCCGGATTCCTAATCGTGGGAGCGAGAGGGGTGATACTGAGGGCCTTCAGGTGTTCCCGACATGGTCGACTAATAGAGAAGGGTTCCTAATGATTCTGTTAAGGTCAAATAGATAACTTTCATATGTGTGTGGTCTTTTAATTTTGGCTTAATTGGTTTGGAATAATATTTAATTTTTATTTGTATAGCAGAATGATTTTGGTGGATCACATACAAATTCACCGTTAAAAAAAAGAAAAAAAAAGAATAATTGGAAACAACCAAACTACATTTCTCAGTAATTTTCTCATGGAGTCTGCCGAGAGATGAACTGGTTAAAATTAGGGTTGATATTGTGCAATTTCCATTATTGTCTAGAACTCCTGCATCACATCCTAGACATCTACAGAAAACCTGCAAATCTGCAGTGTTAGACTCAAATAAAATGCCACTATTGACAACCATAGGAACAACCAAACTACAAAAATACTGTGTTTCTTGTAGAGTTTGCAGAGTGATGAGCGTATTTAGGCAAAGGTTATGGTTAAAAGAAGTCGACCTCTTTATGAAGTTAAGCACTGCAACCAATATTGGTCTGTTGTGCCATCTCCATTATTATCAAGAGTTTTTTCTTTCCCCCCTCCTTGTTAAGCTTAAGGCCTTTTATCTGGTCCCAAAATTGTATACCTTTATAATCAGCCTGCAGCTTTCAAACCAACAGAAGACATGTTCTGCTGTTTCTACTTCTTCCCCTGGCAGTGTCTGCAAGGCTTGTTTCAGCCGCTCCGAGTCAGCAGAGCTATCATCCTAGTCCTTAGGTCTGTTGCTAGTTTCTGTGATAGCCCATTATCTCATCCAGGAATTATTTATAACCGATTTTTTGGCAATTTGGTATGCCCAAATGGTTCAGGGCTGAAGGTGTTCTCAATGAAGTTTCTTGGTTAATAATTCTATCATACGCACAATTATAAATAAACTTAAATTACGGTTGCAAAATGGTCAAAATGCAAAAAAAGAAATTATATAATATAGTGGAAAAAAATATATTAGGTTGTAATATATTAAATATATAATAAAATGTTGTAAAATACTAATATTCTCTGTTATACTTACTTTTTTAAAAATATAGATGCTGATGATGGGTGTAAATTCTCGAAACGCCCAAAAAATCTAATTTTAAAATAAAACAAAATATTTATTTAAAAAACCACATAAAAGAGTTAAAAAACTTTCAAATCATAAATATAAAAAAGTCAAAAAGTTTTTAGAAAAAATTCATGTTACATAATAAAAATCATATAAGTTTTATTATTTATTAAGAGGTTTGTTATGATTTTTGTTTACTGAAAGGGGTAAAAGGGGTTATTTATCTTAGTTTTTAAATCTTATAATGAAAGATTTTTCCTCTGTCCGCAAAAATCATAATTTTTTAGTTAAGTAAAAGTTCCATTAAAGTTTGCAGTCTAGCTTCATTGTATCTGAACATCCTTCTCTGTCTATTCTAGCTAGGTTTGGCTGTCAGACTGTGATGATCAGATATAATCAAGATACAGTTTATTTATCTGTAAAAGATGCAGTTAATTTTTTACATATACAACTGGTGTATATGAGATTATTACCGGAGAAGTTTTAATTAACAATGAAAAACTTCTGCTATTAAAAAAATTCATTTCTGCCTTAATCTGTGTACTGTACAACATTCACACAAATATGTTCGTTTTCACGTAGGCCTTAAATGAACATGGAGCGCAGAAAAATTTCCCAGTCGAATTCGTGGACGGATTTATTAAAGAAATTGCAGTATCAATACCTTGGGCAACACTACTTACTGATTCCATCTATGTGGAAGTCACTGGAATGCACATTACGATCCAGCCAAAACAGAGGCCTGATGATGGTAAGCAGCCCTGTAATACTTCAAAACAAAGCTTTTATTATAATTTATAATAATTATATTTGTGTCTTTTATTTTAATTTTAGCTGGCTCTATGCTTGAATCAATGTGGAGTTCCATGGCAAGCAGCATACAGCTAGCAGCAGAATGCTTAAAACAAGACAGTAATTCAACTGATGAAAAAGAACCAGAAAGCGAGAATATGATGGAAGGACTTGAAATCTTTGCTCATGCTATTGAATCTAGTAAGTTAAATAAGTATGTTATTACTTTTAGTTGTTTAATTTATAAATAAAATTAAGGATTATTGTTTGAAATTTAAAAATTTGTTCTGTTGTCTTTGATTTTATGTTGGGGGGGGGAACACAGTGCCAACAAATGGCATAATAATTTTTGAAGTTTGGTCATAACTTAACCTTCAAACTGTAGGAGTACAAAGAGTAATTGTACAATATTTTTCAGTTCTGACTCGTGTCAAAGTTAAATTTATTGATACATGCATTAGACTGGAACACTTGCCAAAAGAGGGAAAGAATGGAATTGCAGTAGAAATTAAGTTGAAAAGGTAAGAGTAATATTAGAATTAAGATTGAGCAAATATCTACTCAGTATTATCTTCAATGTGATAGTACTCAAAAACAAAAAAATATACTTTTTGTTTGTTAATTTTCCATAATATCTAAGTGTAAAGATTAATAGTTGACTTTAAATGTGGACGCAACATTAATAACGTGTTGTTTACCTTATTAATGTGCTACAAACCCTTTTACACTCTTTAGATTAAAACTAAAGAAAATCAGTTCAATTTCAACTTTTTCAGAGCCAACTTGTTGAGTGATTTAATTAGTTTTTTTTTATATAGTTTTCTTTGATGAAGCAATAAATTTGAGTAAAAAATAAATTATTCGTTCTTTTTCTTAAAAGCGTGGTTTTAAGTAGAGAAGATTTGCCCGGGCAGATGCTTTCGTCAACACCAGACATAGCATCTGTTACATAGCCCAAATCCTGGGTGGCCATGGGGAGTCTCAATTGAAGATAAGGGACTGGTCGATCATGATGTACAATGGCTAGAGATGATAGTTTATTGCTCTTACTGCACTACGAACCTGTCATTTAATGTCTTCCTTGATAGAGTAAAGTCTAAATGATATGTAATGTAAAGGTGAGCTTTAAAACAATCAATTGAAGGCTTCGTGAGAATAGCCTAGTCTCTAGACATCCCTTATCAGGTTCTCTACTGGAGAAGCATTGAGTAGAAAGGCGACTATTTAAAAATCAGCATCTTACTTGGACACTTGAACGTTTTTGGCAGTCAGATGACTGGGACCATGTGTGTAGTAAACGGGGAGAATGCTTTGCTTCATGTGCCATGCATCTTTTTCAAAGGCACTTACGGTATGGGGTGGAATCAACCTACATGATGATGCCCATACTGAACTGATAATCATACGTAATGAATCTTTAACTGCACTAAGGTACAATGAGGAAGTTCTGGAAGCTGTGGTCCCATTTATTGGGGATTTTGTGTTAATGCATGATAACACTTGACCTCATGTAGCTCGAATTGTGATCCAATACTTGTAGCAAGTAGGGATTACTACAATTAATTGGCCAGCATGTTTTCCTGACATGAATCCCAGAGAACACATGTGTGGCATGTTAAAGAGACAGGTTAGACATCGTTCAACGCCTCCGACAAGTTTTGAACAGCTTCAAACACCTCTTGTTGAAGAATGGGATTCTGATTCACAACACAACATTTCATCGCTTATTTACTCAATGCTTAGGAAACTTAATGTCCTCCGTGAAGAAATAAAATGCTTAATTAAGAGCAAAACTACATAATAATTTGTTAGTTAAAATTTAGTTGATCACTAAATGATTTCCTAGTGTTTTGGTGAATTTTCTTTCAAACATCATTATTAAATAATTTTTATTAAAAGTCATGAATTTCTAATCTCATTTAATTTGGTTTATAATGAAATAAGTATGTTGTGTTTAACATAACAATAAAAATATGTATAGTTTCAATAAACATGAAAATATGTATCCAGTTTTTTTTTTGTCTTTGAGTGTATACTTTAACATGTTTTGAATTGCTTCAAAATGTCATAAAACTTCAATAGTTGTAACATGTCGTATATTTGGCTTAAAAAAAGTAAACACAAAAGTCTGTTCCCTAGTCGTCAACAAAACAAACTACTACATTAATAATCAGACAATTGTGTGTTAAAAATCAGAGCATAATAAACTAATACTTGTATCATTATTCAAACAGACATATTTAAAGTGTGTAATTTACATAATAAAAAGTGATATTTTTATGTAAGTTCATGTAAGAGATTATCCCATGAAAAAGAAACTTTTTCTCAAACAATGTTTCAGGTATAATTCTCATTATTTAGTTGTAAAATTTACTTTTCAGTTGATCAGTTTAAGTAATCTTTATCAGCACGCTACATATTTATTTACTCACAGTATAAAAATTAGTTTAGCAAAATATTCTATGTACTTTGTTGAAGTAGTGAGGAGCGGTCAGGAATCAAGTATTTTAGAAAAATCGCCTTTTTAATTTTTTTTTTACCGTTTCCATCTTTATTCAGGTCATCTTCAGGGCATAAAGTGAAGTACTATTCTAGTTTTGTCAAGTTTGTTTCATGTGAAATTGTTGTGACACACTAATAACACATGAAACACAACACAAGACACCACAAGAATAGCACCACACTTATGCCCTGAAGATTACCTGAATAAAGGTCAAAACGTCAGCAAAAACAAAAAAGTATTTCTACAATATTTCATTCTTCATCGCTCCTCACTACTTCAACAAATTATTGAACAACCAGTTGCTAAATAACACATATTTTATGTACATTGTCACAGTTTTCTGTACGATATCAAAGGTAAACAAACTGTGAAATTTGTTTATAGACATGATAATTGTAAGAATAAATTTTGATGGGTGCCGATGGTTTCTTCTATATAATTAATTATATTGACATTGCAAACATTTGATTTTTAATATTGACCTTTTCCTCAGTGTTGAATATTGTGATGAAACAAGCTGTGAATGGGGTGCAGGAGCGAGCAGTTGTCCCGAAAATGCTCAAAAGTCTCCATCATCATTTTCTATTAAAAAGTTCCATTGCGATGGAATCACATTTTACACAGATGAGTTTCCTGTCGAAAATCGGACATTTTCTCGGTCTATTATAATTGAAGATGAGGTAATATATGTAAGTTTAAATCTTGAGAGAATATAAACCTAATTCTTTTTTAAATTTCAGAAGATAAATAAAAGCAGTGATAAAATTAAAGTTACCTCAGAACCAATTTTAATAGGCATGCTCTCTGGTTCTGGAGTAGTGAGGGTGAAATTGAAACTTGATCCTACTTCACACGATCCAAAAGTAATGATAGACTATTAAAAAATAATCATTCGCTTTTAATGCATTAAAACTTTAAAAAAATTGCCTTTCAGGTGGACTTAGAATTTACACTAGGCTCTTTCACGTTTTTCTTGTCACCTCGCCAGTTGTATTTACTCGTTGAAATTGTACAGAGTTTAGTTTCACCACACAACCAAGATACAAGCAATGTCATATCCGTAAAAGCGGTCACTCAAAAAGTTATGAGTTCACACGACTTCAAAAAAGTGGAGCAAGATTTACAAGAGACGTTGAACTTTCCTGCTTACCATTATCCAGTGGTCAAAGGGAATCATGGAAAAGGCTGGTCTTCTGCATCATTTGGTAATAGTCAATTTTGATTTAAAAAAAATCTTTCTATTTGCATAATTTATTTTAATATTTTTGTTGTTTCACAATCATCAGATGAGGGAGATGAGGAATTTCATCCAATGAAGTTGACCAATTTAATGAGTGGGAGTGTCACATCAAATGCAACTGATACATCATTTGGCTCACATGCTTCTACCTATACTAGGTAAATTTAGTAACATAAATATGTTATTAGATGTGATACTACAATGATAGAAAAATAAATTTATCCTTGTAGATGACTCTTCCGTGATAGAAAATAATTGTTTTTATACTGTTAATCTGTGTTTGGTGATGAAACAATAAGCACCCTGACCAAAATGGTTCAAAAAGTTTAAAAATGTACTCCACCGAACTTGTGGGTGAATATTCGGTTTATGCTTCCATGGGACAGGGTCAATTGGTGACAAACAATGGTACAACCTCCTGGTGTTACTGTACAGGATCCATTTTTCTTTGACAATAAGGTCAATAAAGTCTCTGCTTTGTACCATCAAAGCACTGAAAGGCAAATGTTTAGTTGCTGAAGCTTGTTACTGCCAGTTAATTTATAAGTAACCTATTTGCTGAGCTTCCAACTCTTCCCAAGTTGATGAAAACTAAAGGGAATGGTTTCATTGCTCCTGACATGTTTGACCCGAATCAACTTTGATAGCTTTTTTCAATTTGTCATCATTAAAGATAGAAGGCCTACTAGACTGGGTCTTCAATCCTCTCATTCCAAAAAGCAAACTTCTTGAACCACTTCTGGGCAGTGTGCTCACTTATTGTTTCATCAAGGAAGTGGTGCTGGAATCTATATACCTAAATTAGGTATTAGCATCTCCACCCCTCTTAGCAATAACACCTCCGTTTTTCAGGTGGAAATCTGGGCCATTAATATTTGTTGTAGAACACTTATGTAAAATAAAATCAAGGGAAAAGATATTAGAATTTTTTCTGACAGTCAGGCTAGTCTTAGGTTATTACAAAAAGATTTGTCAACATCTAGACTGGTGGAGGAAACCGTAGATCTTATCAATAGAATCTCTTCCAGGTTTGAGAACAATATTATTTGGATACCAGAATATAAAGGATACCATGGCAATGAAGAGGCGGATGGCCTGGCCAAAGAAGGTTCTAATACTACGTTTGTCAGGCCACACTGATATTACCTCAGTCTATGAGCACAGTGAAGGAGAGTATTAATAACTGGGGTATGAAACAATTCCTTAAGGAATGGAATCTATCCCCCGGACACAGGCAATCGAAAGAGTTTGTAAAGGAAATCAAATCAGCAAAATCGAAATGGCTATTTTCTAACTCAAGGAAGGGAATTAGGAGGCTGATAGGTATCCTGATGGGCCATTGCCCACTGAGAAGATACCTCCCTGTAATGGGTATTCTACCAGATCCCTTTTGCCGTTTTTGCGAAATAAAAGAAGAAACGGCAAGGCACTACCTCACAGAGTGTGATAGGTATGCTAGGTCTAGATTTGAAACTTTTGAAGGAGAGGACATCACCAAATCACTCCTCGAGATTAAATGGTCCAAAATCTTGGGGTTTGTGAACAGGTCCAAGAGGTTTATGCAAGACACGTGAGCTGACCAAGTCCCGGATCTTTTACGAATCGGGTTACGAGTCCTGGCATTTAACCCCTCAGGTCTTGGTCGCCCACCCTACATTTATATATTGTTTCATCACCGAATGCAGTGCAAATTTTACAAGCTGCCTTGGCCACCATAGCATCGAGCTAAAAGTTCATTCAAATTATGGGTTTTGAAACCACAAGGAAGAAATATTTTATAATTTGCACTGTTCAAGACACTTTTTCTATATGAACTGACACATTGTTCTCTTGGTATTATGTTAAGTGTAAATAATCCTCTTATAAATGTAGAAATGTTGATTAATGGTATTAAACAATAATAAATGAAAAACTGCACAAAATATTCTGGTTACCATAAGCTCAACTTGACACACACGTACAAATTTATAATCACCAGTTTTTGGCAGTCTGGGTCAGGGCTTCGGTCTTATACATCCCATCAGTGAAGTTAAGCTCTAGGGATGGTTAGGGTTTTTAAGAGAAGCCAAAACATAATTTGCCTTTATGATCAATTTACAAACTTCACTTATGAAATATTATGTGATGTATGTTGTAGCAAACCTGAAGGATCACATCTCTCTTACGATTTTCCTTCGCTGACAAACACTCCATTTAAAAAAAAGTTGGATAGAGGTATGGTTAAGAGTTCATAAAATTTTTGTTCTATCCTTGTTAATTTTGTGCCGTTCCAGGATCTCTATATGACTCAGATGTTGTTGAAGAAACGAGTGCTTTCCATTTGCAACTTTCCAGCATTGCCGCTGTTATTTTACATGAAGATATATTAACATTTGGTTTGGATTCGTGCGAACTGACTCCTTCTTCGGTTTCAACAATGAAAAATTTATCAACCCAGTTCTTCACTCAATTGGGAAAATTCGTCCTAGCTGGAAATAAAGATTTTGAAGCTTTTAAACAAGCTTTATCAAACACATGTAGCCTAAATCATATCAGGTCTGTTGAATAATATTGATTTACTTATTGTATGGATTCATTACTAAAAAAAAATTTAAACATTTAGGCTTTTGGGTACAACAATAATCGTGGAAGCCAATGATGCTGGTAATTCTTCGCACAGTTCATTCAGTTCTGTGGTTTCTGCTGCTAATTTAGAAATTCTAGAATGCCTAGTAGAAAATATTTCTACATCTGATGGGAAACCACAGTTCGTAGAGGTAAATATCTTGATGACTGTTTCCATTCAATTGGTTTATTTTGTTTTGTTGTTTCATAAATTATCTTAAAAATAATTGATCAATATTCTATCATCGGAATTAGAAGCTTATTAGTCAAAGTGAACTTTATAATATGTAAGAAAAATCATTTTGTGGACTCATTACTCACATTTTTCATCACATTATTATCAATTTGACAGTTTTTATTACACCTTTAAGTTACTTGTATCAATAAATCTAGTCTTGTATATTAATAAAATATATTTATATATTTCAGCTTCTAAACTTTATGAAAACATCAAATTGTGATCGCAGTATCAGACCCCATTTTCCAATCTCTAATCAGCCTGATGTCCGTGTACATATTCATTATACAAAAAGGAATCATCATTCAAGGCGTAGTTCAAGATTAGAGATGTTGTAAGTAAAATATAAATTACATATTTTGATAATTGTAGTTTGTGTGTAAACATGGTTTATATATCATTTACTATAAATAAAGCAGTACAAAATATTTGGTCGATCGTGTACAGCTGTCATCTTCTAACATCATGTCTTTTGTCTGTGTCCTAGGATTAATTTGGAGCAATGTTGGAGTGAAGTTGACCTCTCAATATTGGATAGAATTTCCACAGTCATTAATACACAATCCCTTTGTCACATAAAATCCACTCCAAAAGATTTAGTAAGTATTATTAAGAAAAGATAGATTTTTAGCTTTTAGCTGTATGTCAATGTGCACAACTTTAATGAATATTAAATAGATTTAAATTTCATTTTATATTTTTACATGTCAAAACTAAGATTTATGATGGTAATAAACTACCAGAATGTTGACGAACTTATTTAATAAATCAATTTTATTATCTATTCAACATTATATTGACTGATGATAATTTTTTCCGCCCATCATAGGGATTTCCCCCTGTAGCACTTTTAACTTTCGTCTATTGTTCAGTTCTCTGCTAATCTAACGCCCAACCCATGCAAACTCCCCAATAACCTGGGAGCAGCGCCATCACCAATATTACAAATTAATAATATGACACCAATAACTGTATACTTCTCAAAATAATTCCTGTATCCAGTTTACTTTTGTATATATTAAAAAAAAAAGAATGTATTTGATTTTTTAAACAAGCTTAGCTAGACAGAAAATAAATCATATCTTAAGTTACAGAAATAATAAATGTTTTTTAAAATTTAACACAGTTAAGAATTGTATTATTAGGTTACACAACGTCCACACTTGTGTCCATACAAATTGTCAATTTGTTAAAATGTAATAACATTTAAAATTTATCTTGGAATCAAACATTTTTTCTCTTTGTTCTAAAAATCTTATTGTTTTATGTGTACTGTATTAGATTGTTATTTAAATAAATTTTGTTTTGTTATAGGATCAACAGTCATCATTTACACAAGCATTAGAGAGTGGAGCTTTATGTGACAAATCATTTTATTTGAAGGTTCAGTCACCGTTTCTAGTGATTAAATTTAGGTTTGTAGGTTACTGTAAAATTTTCAGAAATACATTAAGTTTATATAATGTGTCACTTCTGATGTAACTTTACTTTTTTAAATAACTTATGGGTTATAGACACAAATTAAAACTTGTGCCATATTTTCTCATTAATCATGGATATTTAGTCCGACCCATGATCAAACTTAATTCTACCTACTTAACCATTTCTAACCTAACTCGACTCTAACTTGAACATTCATAACATAACTTATTTCTAACCATACTGAACCTTACCATTCCTAATCTAACCTAACTTAACTATTCCTAACCTTTCCTAACTTAACCATTCTTAACCTAACCTAACACTAACTTAACCATTCCTAACCTAACCCAACCATCACTAACTTATCCCTAATTATACGTAACCTTACCATTCCTAATCTAACCCAACCTAACAACAATTCCTATCCTTTCCTAACTTAACCATTCCTCCTAATCTAACACCCAAGCCATGCAAACTCCCCAATAGCCTGGGAGTGCGATCACCAATGTTACAAATTAATAATATGACACCAATGTTGCAGGTTTCCTATACCAGATTTAAGACCAGACCATGAAAAGGGGAAATTTCCTTGGTGGCAGCGGTCAATAAGAAAAGATATCTTATATGCAAACCTTGTTGAAACGACATTTCACACAGATCAGAGTACAAAAATCCCAATGCAAGAGTACCATCTCGCTTCTAAAGAAGTTACTTTCCTCTTCAAGGTAAGCACTTAGTGCTACCATAATTAATTAAAAAGGCACACTTGGTCTACAATGTTAAAACTCTACCACTTTTAATTAGATTATACTTTCAATGTAATTAAAATTCTCCAACTTGTTTAAAAAGGTTAAATATTATTGTAATCAAGTTTATACTTAAAAAAATTATATGCCTTGTGGTATGTTACTAGGTACTATCGATATTATATTTGAAAGAAATACATTTCTCTACATTAATGATAACTGGTAATTTTTAAAGAAATAATTGAAAATTTTAAGATGCACTTGTTGGAAAATGTTCTTTAAAACAATCTGATATTTTACTTAGTTGTCTAACTGAATATACAGTACATACCTTTTTATGGTAATAATTTAGTTAAAATAAAATTTATTACTTATATATAAATTTTAGGAAGGAAATACTGACTGTGCGATTCCTTTCCTTCACTCCTCAGGTCTTTTCTCTAATACACAAGAAAACACCACTGCTGAGCCTTGTCCAAGGTAATGATTTTGAAACTTTTAGATGTTTGAGTACAGAATTTGATTAATTGAAAAAGTCTCAATAAGAAATAGTAAATAAAAGCGTGGATTATATCCATTAGCAAAACTAATAAAAAAATGTGCAATTTTACTTGTACATCAATAATATTGCTAGTATTTCTTTTGGATTTTAGACTGAAAATCAGACTACTTCCTTTGCAACCGTTGACTGACGAAGAAGTGGTGCATGAAAAAGAGGATAATTTAGGCTTATCATGCTCAACTATTATGTGTAATACAGATAAAGAACCATCTCCTTTTATGTCAAAGAAAGTCGTACATGAAAGTGATACTCATCATCATTCTGTTAGTAAGTAATTAATAATAAATTTTTTAAGCAAATCAATATTTTTATCCTGTATTTGTTGATGTCTTGACTTAGTACAAGTAATAATGCAGATACAGTAAAATGTGAATTAAAAGGTAATTTTTCTTTAAACTTTACAATTTTTCTCATTTAACTAATTTTTGTTTTTGGTCCAGTGTTGTATTATATTTGGTTCCAAATATTTACTGACTTTTCTATTTTATTGTTAGCTAGTAAATTTTAGACATTTGCATGGTGTAAACAAGAAAAGTTAACAATTTTTCTTTTCTTTTTAAAGGCAAGGGAGAAGAGCTTTTGATTCCTGGCTTAGCAAAAGATATGAATAAATTCATAACACATGCATGTGAAGATGCAAAGATCCATATAGATATTACTCTACCCTATCTCTGTATTGAATTTCCATCAAAACATTTGTACGAAATAATCTATAACAGGTATACCTATCAAATACATAATTCAATCATATTTCATGGTTAAATAATTTGCTTATAGTAAGTAGATAGACAGCTACTAGCGTGAAAAACAAAGAGATAAGTTGAGAAGATGGTCTCTCCCAAATGCAAGACTCTTTGAAGTGCGAACTGGTCTGACATTTACAAGAAAACATCTTAAAAATTACAAATCAATTTTAAATTAAGTTAATGTAGTTTGCGCAACCCTGACGAAGGTGTTATAATAACTGTCAACTTGGCAATTAAACACCTTTCTTTTATCTAAAACCATATTCTTATCTTTTTGTGATCCATTATAATTGTTTAATCTTTTTGTGATCCATTCTAATTGTTTATCTAACTTAAACTTCTAATGATTGTTTTTCTAGCTTATCTTATTAGTACATCTCTTTATTAACCCATAACGCTACAGGTTGCTAGTCAACAGGTGTGTGTCTATATGCATACATTTCTACAACGTAGTTTACTTAGCAACTCAATTCCAATTACATAACTTAATCAGTCCCTAACCCAAGTTAGCTTACCCATTCCTAACCTAACCCGATCCTAATTAACATTCCTAACTTAACCTTCCTTACCTAACTTTACCATTCTCACCATGAATAACCCCATTTAACCATAACCTATAACCCCATTCCTAACCTAACCCAACTAACAACCATTCCTAACCTACTCAACCCTAACAACCATTCCTAATGTAACCCATTCCAACCATAACTTCACCATTCTTACCATAACTAACTTTATCTAACTTAATCATTCCTAACCTAACCCAACTCTAACTTAACCATTGATAACCTAACCTGATACTCACTTAACCCTACCTACTTAAACCATGTGGAATGCTGTCATATAACCTTTTCTTTTATTTGTCTTTGCACAAATTGTAAAGAGACAATGATTAAGAAAACTTCTTATCCAAGAAGATACAAGAGGTAAATTTTGAAAACAGGTGTCTCTGGGCCACAGGATGCTGTATGCATACTTTGACATTTCGAGTGCCACAGGTGCTTTTTAAACTTTTACAGAATGACGAACTTACATGAAATTGGAAGCGAAGCTTGAAGAACTACATGTTCTGATGACCTTCAAATACTGCATGGGATTTATGTGGGTGTCTGATTACCGTGAAACCAATAATTGTTTTATAACTAGCTATGAAATATCCTGTATGTAGCTCATAGATGCACATGTGGTGTTAAGGGCTAACATATAGAATATTATTAGTGAATATTATTACTATTATTAGAAGTAGTAACAATGGTTTATTTTCAGAATAACTTCAGATCTCACTCTTTTACAATTTACTGCACCCAAACACAGAAAGGATCTAAGTGGCATTGATCCAACTTTTTGCAATAGTTCATTTTCAATGTGTAAATCAGGGCTTCAATTCGGTATGTAGATGTATTTTAAATTCACAATACTTTGTATTGTTTGTTGTTTTTATTTTAAACTATTTTGTAGACTCTGATTCTGACGAAAGTGACGATTTAAACTTCAAAAGTGCACATAGAAGTGACTTTTCTCAATATTCTATCCAATATCCTCAAAGCAATTTTGCCCTTAATATTAACGTTACAAAAGGAGTTTTAGATGTCTGTCAAATTTTGAAGGTATTCTCATATGATTTATACTCTTGTGTTCAACAATTAATTAACAAACACTGGATTAAAATTAAGGAAAAACATTACTTCTGAGTTTTTATAATATGAGAGTTTAAAGAAAAACTTTGACTTACATAGACTTTTAGGAAAAAAAAATATATAAAACTTTGTGTCTAATAATCATAGGATAGCAGCAGTAGTCTTACGCCTGACAAGTATGGAGAAATCTATTTTGACGTTAGCGAAGGCAGTGTTTTTGTTGTCACACATTATAGAGGGAAACCCCAGCAAAATTATATTTGCCTTCAAGTGAAGGGTATGCAGGTTTATCACAAAGGTATTTTTTTTTATATTTATTCGATTTTAATTGAAATTGTTAAAAAAATTACTTTAAGAAAATAATTTTCACAGCTGAAATGGAAGGCAATATGAGTGCCAAACGGAAAAAACTTCACAATTTGAAATCACCACCGTCACATTTAGATCCAATACTTATAAAAAGTAATCGTGAAGTTATCGTAACATCGTTGAACCCTGAAGGTTGTAATAGTAATATGTTCGTAGCTGCAATTAGTACACAAATAAATGAAAGGAGAATGAAAGTAAGCATTTATTTTATTAATGGCAGAGATACAGTGTTATGCATTGATCTTTTTTAGACGACCAGGATAGCTTGCAGTATAAACAAAGCGACATTAAGGCACCACGTAACACTTCCTCGTCATTCGTGGTTAACCCAGTTTATTGATTTTTTCGATGTTGTTGATTATCCAGTTAAAGGTTATGATTCGCCTCAAGTTGTAACAGAACTTTATTTACATTTATGGGATTGCGCTATTGATTATAGGTATGTTAGTACATAATTAATTATTATTATACATGTAAATGGCCTTTGGTTGGGTGTATACATTTGCATTTGTTTGTTTAGACTTCTGATTGGTATTTAATTTTGTTTTACTCTCTAGGCCCCTGTATCTTCCTATGTGCTGTGTGATCACATTGGGCAATTTAAGCATTTCAAGTAATATAACGGCTCGTACAAAAACATCAACGTTGAGATTTATCGCTGAGGAAACAAGCCTGTTTATATCGAATAAAGTGAAAAATAATAATTCCCCTCCGAATTTGAAGGAAGAATATATATCTGTGATTCAACTCGGCCTATTTGAATTATCGCTTAGGATAAGTGATCAGGCGAATAATTCAAAAATTGATTTAAAGGCTTCAAACAACGTTCTTAACATCAGAACTTGTTCAGATTCAGCTTCTGCTCTAGCAAACTTAATTATTTATTACGCTTTGGAGGGAGATTTAAAAAAGAAAGAACGAAAGAACAAAGATAAAAAATCAACTCTGTCGAAGGATAAAAGTGAAGAAAAAAGTACAAATTGCCTATCGGAATCAGCCGCTGAAAGAGTCAATGATATGATGGAAGATGCCATGAAAGAACTTTGTGGACAAAGCAATGTTTACAAAGATGGTAAATTAATCAAAACTTTATCTTTGCTCGGTGTTATTTCCACTTTTAAATTTCTGTAGCTCTGCTTACACATCATATTTTAAATTGAAATTACATCAAATCTCAAATTGATATTTGTTTGAATATATGAAAAAGGGTATTGTAACGACTAAAGCTCGGAATTCTATGCAGTCAAAATTTAAAAACTTGGAAACATGCAAAACCAACTGTTTTAGGTTTTAGGTAAAAACTGTGTATTTCGATAAGACTATCTTTTTTTTCTCTTCTGAGGTTTGGGGTTGAATAAGGATTTAAGGATTTTAAAAATCCTTTCCACTACTGCAATCTAAATAAATTTACTGTGGAACCCCTATAAATTATAACCATACCTTGGAAAACGTATGTTTTCCTATAAGTCTAAGCCCTTCCTGGTGCCTCTTCGTGCATCTCTTTTGAGGAGAGAATTGCATTACCAAAGTGGCTGTACCGTAACCTCCTGTCGTAACCATCTCTTGTTCCTCCTGATTGAGTGAGCTGATGTTTCTGTCCCTGCGTTGCCCATTTTCTTCAGATGGTAGTTAAGAGGTGGTCAGTATAGATGCTTATAATTGTCCTCAAATCCTGCTTGCTGAGAGCCTTTGCCTTCCCTTCTAAGAGATTTATAAAAAAGCTTGCCTCATGCCTGGTGCTTTTGTCCAGGCTTGTGTTTTTCTTTCTCGAGCCGTTTTTCCAGTTTCAACTTAAGCACAACGTGGTGCCTAGTGGTTCCAGTTCCATGGAATTCCTTGTGATTCCACAACTTGCACTCCAAGCTCATCTTCCACACCAATCCTCTACCTCAAGCCCTCTGTTCAACAATCTACCATGCTGCCTAAAAAGACAGTGGACCTAGTGACCTCCTAACACAACCCTACACCTCAATCAACAATCCCTCCCTCCTCCCTCTATCCCTGTGCTTCGACAGGTTCGTGCCAGATCATTATCATTCTTTATAATTTTTATATACACTGAAAGCAAATTTATTTTTTTCCACATCCTACATGCATTTGTAAAATTTAAACAATGTTTATAAATCCCAGGCCCTGAAGATGATCTCAGTAAAGATTGAAACGTTGGCACAATAAAGAAAATGTTTTTGTAAAACCTACGTCACACCAGACCGCATCTCACGATCTCCAAATAATTAATAACTGAAATAAATAACTTTTGGAGACTGCTTCCATTTTTTTTTTTCATTAGCACACGCCAAGTGAGAACCTAGATTAAAAAAAACAAAATATACAAGTAATACTTACTAGTGATAAAGTGAGCATCATTTTGAGATTTTCTCTCAAAACCTATTGGTTTTGTCACATGCAACATAAACCGTACTGTCATCTGTTTTTAGTTCTGGATATTTTTCTATCCATCCTGCAGTTTTAGAAGATTTACCACTTCCAACTTTTGGCATTATTTTTTAAAATAAACTGTACGTATTAATGTGTGAGGCTGACAAAATTTGAAAGAGTTTTATGAAATACCTAAGGAAGTTGGTTTACTTTAGTGGAATGGATTCACTCAATTTTTCCAATGCTCCGTTTTGATTTATTATTTTTTCTTTTTTCTTCCATGAGCTATTCTTCTCTCAAAATAGAAAAATATTCAGTTTTGTGCAACAAAACCTCAAAACATGCATTTTCATATAACATAAAACGACTAAAACTTGCTATATGACTGGGTGTGAATAAATTACTTTATGACGTTCAGAGTAGCCAAAAAAATCCAATTACACAGGAATCTGAGCTCTAGTGGAATCCCCAGTTGGGTTTTTCATAATTATTGAACTTTGTAAATCAGAAGAAAAGACATTACAGCAATAACAGAAACTTGAGCCATTCTAATTATCGGTCATTTTTTTCCATTGAATTAAGTTTTTAAAATTTATTTTATCTAATAATTGTTTGAATAATCCCACAGTTTGAAAAGGATCTTTTTAGTCACTACACACAAACCTAAACCTAACCTATTTTATCTAACCTTCGTGCAGGAGTCAAAAAGAAAGTGTTACTGTATAGCAAATTAATTTATCACTATACAGGGTGACTTGCTACTCGTGCTACAAACTTCACCAGTAGATTCTTCACCCTAAAATGAACAAAAAAGTTCATATTGACCATGGTCCGATTCTCAACCATTTCAGAGTAATTTCGCTTTTTATCGATTTTGAAAGATATCACGTCCTGGCGTCGGAAAATCGTGATATCTTTTAATCTAAACATTTCTCTTAAAATCTATAAGCACCGTTGAAATCCCCGTTAATTTTTAGAGAGAATCAAAATCATAATTCCATTGAAATTTTTTAATTTAATTTAATGCCCATTTAGTATGTAATGCTTAAGAAGTTTACAAACAGCTAGAAGGTCAAGGAAGAAAGACCCAAACGTTTTGCCACCTTCATCTTCTTATTGAAAAATTAACGGGGATTTCAACGGTGCTTATAGATTTTAAGAGAAATGTTTAGATTAAAAGATATCACGATTTTCCGACGCCAGGACGTGATATCTTTCAAAATCGATAAAAAGCGAAATTACTCTGAAATGGTTGAGAATCGGACCATGGTCAATATGAACTTTTTTGTTCATTTTAGGGTCAAGAATCTACTGGTGAAGTTTGTAGCACGAGTAGCAAGTCACTCTCAAACATTAGCAATCCTTGAACCACCATTTTTTCTCTTTTTGTCATCAACATCTTGGTCTCACAACCACTAAATAAGAAAATGACGAGTGCGTTGGAAGCGTTATTAAATCAGGTAGTTTTCCTCAAATTTGCTGCCTTCTGAGACTAAAATTAGAAACTCTGGATTACTTTATACACTTTCCGATTTACACAATTTTCCACTCTTTTTGTAGTTCTGGCTGAAATAAAACACAAAAAATTAGCCCAAACATTTTGCCACCGTCATCTTCTTATTGAAAAATTAACGGGAATTTCAACGGTGCTATTAGATTTTCAGAGAAATGTTTAGATTAAAAGATATCACGATTTTCCGACGCCAGGACGTGATATCTTTCAAAATCGATAAAAAGCGAAATTACTCTGAAATGGTTGAGAATCGGACCATGGACAATATGAACTTTTTTGTTCATTTTAGGGTGAAGAATCTACTGGAGAAGTTTGTAGCACGAGTAGCAATTCACCCTGTATAGCTATTATATAAAAATGATTACTTTAATAATTAATAATTACTTATAATGATTACTTTAATAATTACTTATATGTTACAGATATTAATGAAAAGTTAGTGGATGTGTTTTATTTTCCTGGGGAAGGTGCGAGCCAAAATTCCCAACCGATCGATTACGGTGATTATGACGATTTCGATCATGATTTCTGCATTTTAGAGAACGAATTTGGAGTTGGATTAATGAACGTAAGTTGGTACAAATTTGCAATAACTCATATTAGTTTATAAACACGATTCCGATTGCAGATGGACAACGGAAGACCGGAAATTAGGTATTTAAGCGATAAAAAGATTCAAATAAAAGAAAATCATTTCAACGTCGGCACTGGAACATCAGACCAGTTACTTTCTCCAAAATGCTACCCGACTCCAGTTTATAGGTATACACTATCAGATATGAACATCGTTTGGCATATGTACGGTGGACGGGATTTTGCAGAAAAAGAATCTAGCAAAAAGAATGTCAAATTTAGTAGGTAAGAATGATATTGTTTGTAATGTTATTATTTTTTATTAAATGTTCACTCCTTGGTCTTTAAAATAGAAGTATTAATTAAATTTTAAGTTGAAACTGAATTGACATTCTTAGGGAACCTAGTCATACCTCCGATCCCGCTGAATTGGAAATCACCGGACTGATGGAAGACAGGGGAAATATTCCTGATGTTTTCTATACACAAGATGTATGTGGTATAAATTTTTTGAAGATTGTTGTGATAATAGTTGTTCTTGTTTCCATAGACTCTTGTTATTGGAAATACAATGGGCCCAAAGCATGGAAATAACAAAAAACAGCAAGCCAATAACATTCTTAATTGGCAATTGAATGGAGGTGCAGGAAGGCAACATAACGTCTTGATGGAATTTCATTTTAACAAGGTGAGCATTTAAGAAAAGGAATTTTTCTAAAATAAATTTAGACAGTTGTAAAACAAAATTTTCTCGTTTGATATTAGGTTAAATTTCAACATGAAATCTACCCAGAAAATGCTCAACAAGCATCTAGACAAGTACTTTTAATACACGAATTTGAGATCAGGGATAAGTTATCGTCATCACAAATAAATAAATTTTTATATCAGTACTCAAGCGAAAGCAACCCTCGCCAATCTCACGCAAATATGGTAAGAGTGGATGTTATATTTTTTAATTATTATATATANATAATATATAATAAATATTAATAATAATATAATTTTTGTTTGTTTGTTATGCAGGTTTCTATAAAAGCACTTCATCTGAGACCTGATTCTAGAAGAAATATTCAGGAGACATGCTTAAAGGTTTCTCTTCTTCCTCTTAGGTTAAATATAGATCAAGATTCAATGGAATTTTTAGTTACATTCTTCACTGAATTGTCTGATCTAACTTCAACCTGTAAGCAATCAAACATAAATAACATCAGTTCTATTAAGTTAAACTTTTCACTGTATTATAACAGGTGATGAAGAAGGAGTGTCAAAACATCCACATTCGTTTCCAGTGATGGTAATCGATGGTGAAACTATTCATCCTCTGAATAAAGATTCCGCTGATCCGTCAGATCTCAATAACGGACAGAACAACGCTAACAGTGATATGGGAACTGCAAATGGACAAGGTGGTTCACCGACCTTTATTAGGAGTTTCCTGTTCTCGCCAGAAGTGCCTATAAGAATCGATTATGTTGGAAAGCACGTCGATTTAACGCACGGCCCTCTAGCTGGTCTGTTTATGGGATTAGGACAATTGAGCTGTTTACAAATCAAACTGAAACGAATAAATTACAAACACGGGTAAAGTTTTTTTTTTTTTTAATTTGAATACTGGTTCTTAAAATCTAAAACAACTATTTTCAGGCTGCTTGGATTTGATAGGTTGCTTTCTTTTGCCATCTCCGAATGGCTGAAAGATATTAAGAAGACCCAATTTCCATGCATTATAGGCGGTGTTGGCCCTATGCATGCATTAGTTCAATTATGTAAGTAAATTGGTTTCCTTCTACTAGTTGAATTTATAAGAAGACACAAATTAACATTGCAATTAAGTCCAAGGAATAAGGGACCTATTTTGGCTTCCGATTGAGCAATACCAAAAGGATGGAAGGATTGTACGCGGCCTACAGAGAGGTGCAAATTCTTTTACGACTTCTACAGCAATTGCTGCCTTGGAGTTGACTGCAAGAATAGTACAAGCAATTCAGGTCTTAAAGAGTCTTTTTGTCTTTAATAATTAATAGTTTACACAGTAGTATAATAGTTAATATACAGGGTGTCTTATGAACCAGCATGCTATTATACATATCAAATTGGACTAAAAAATCCTTATCGTCCAAAGTCTGATTCTCAATTTTACCCGAGATATTTTCAACTTCTCAGGTTCAACCTTTCACAACTTTATTCCATAAAGTACCTCGTGTCTCATAAAATGTTAATCCTACTGTAAATTTTAATACACCAATGGGGCAAGAGCATTGAAAATCCTGTTAGATTCAATTTTATTTTATTTTATTTTTCCATTGTAAACTTATGCAAATAAAATACAGAATTACTTAGAATTCACTAATTTCGTGGTCCGCTTGACCAATTAATACTTTACAATTAATTAAGGTTTTTAGTTGAGATGAAGAAAAGTTAATGGCACGAGAGGGATTCGAACCCATGACCTTGGGCTAGATACACGCCGCTGCTCTACCACCTGAGCTATTGTGACCTCGATCCACTCGGACATCAACTCCCCATCTCAACCCCATTTTTTCATCTCAACTAAAAACCTTAATTAATTGTAAAGTATTACTTAGAATGTAAACTTTTAGCAGTTTTGCATTGGCGTTGGTGGCCACAACAGTTTAGGCATTGACACGGTGTTCGGCATTGTAGGATAAAGGTCTCAGGTTCGAGTCCAGCAGCCCTGCATTTGAACATGACATACTTACAAATGGGCTTTTTTCAAAAACACCGGCACTACTCTCGTTTAAAATTAAAAAAAAAAAAAAAATAAAAAGGTGGTAGGGGTGAGGCATCGGTATAATATCAAAATTAGCATGAGTGCTTGAGTATGTGTTGTATAGTGCAGAATATAGAGTTCACTATGCACCCATGAAACTAGGTTAGCCAATTAAAAGTTAAATAATTCCTGTCATACAGATGGGTTATTCAACTACCCATTGGATGTCGTAGATGAGGAGTCCAATAACTTTACAGAGCATTTTTCATACTGTCCTCAATTAAAAAGCTATGGTCTACATCAGGATTCGAACCCAGGACCGCTTGCATGGTAAACATCAGTAGCATGTTCTAACCACTCGGCCACTCAGCCCCCCATTGTAATGTGACTGCTTGATGCCAAAAACGATGTTATATTCAATAATATTTAATCTTAATTTTATAGAGCATTGCTGAAGCTGCGTTTGACATGGTTTCTCCTGGGCCGAGTGTAAGGGGATTGAACGGCACTAATAAACATAAAAAACAACACTTATTTTCACATCCTGCTGACATTAGAGAAGGTGTTTCAAACGCAATTACGCTTGTTAAAGAGGTATTTTTTTGTGTTATTGTTTAATAATTTCCGAACTATTGTTTAAATGGATTTTTCAAGGGACTTGGAGAAACCGCGGAGACTTTGGTCCGTGTCGCTAGTGCTGAGGCTGAACAAAAAGGTGCGGTCGGAGCTGTTGGAGGAGTTCTAAGGCAGATTCCTCCGACTGTTGTCGCTCCTATCATTTTGGCAAGTGCAGCAACTTCAAACCTTTTAGACGGAGTTAGGAGTCAGCTGGCTCCCGATACACAACGAGAAGCTACAAACAAATGGAAACAAAATATTTCTGACAAATAGCCAAAGACTTGTATGTTTGTGGTGATTTCTTGTTTTACATAAAATAGAATTTTAAATTAATTAACATTAAAAAATTACTATTAAAAATTCGTAAGATTACAAAGAGAAAAAGGATAAATATATCACTGTTGTGTAAATGGTGATTTCAAAGAACGTATTTTTTCACCATTCTTGTATTTTCTTGGGATTATTTTTTCTTTTAATGATAAATCAATACTTTTGCAGCCAGGGAAAATAGTTCATGCCATGGGAGGAAGATAATCAATTACAATCACACCCTTTAAAATAAAATAATGTGGGCAATTCATGTCTTGTTGGGTTGAACTTCAAAATAAATTGTTACGTTCCCAATTGAATGAACTCCTCATTAATTAATTTATTATATATATTTTAAAATTAATAAAAAAATGTCAAATCAGTAAACAGGGTGGTAATATAAATGTTATCCGTGGGATCTCAGTTGAAACATTTTATTTTGTAATATATCAAAATTTTCCAATGTTAAATTCTGCCTTATCCTACTTGGACTAAAAGTCGCCAATAAAAAGACTTGCAGGATTTTTCTGATTTTGAAACATGTGCAATTAAGGTTAATTATAGGCGGAGAGAGAGCAAGAGAATTGATTTTAAAACTAGCACTGTTTTTTTAAATTTAGTTTTACAAGACTTGGTTTTTGGTAAAGTTTAAGTATAAACAACTTTAGGAACTTTGCGCCGGTGATTGTTTAATTTTTACCATAGTGCTATAAATTCCGTGTCTTCCCACATTTATTAAATTTTACACAGAAAACACAAGATTATAATATCTGAACTTTGCCTAACATTATCTTAACTTTAGTCTTTCGTTGAAAATTCGAAAAATGTATTGCAAAGTGGCCTATTATGCTTTGGAAGCACAACTTATAATCATTATTGCTAACCTAAGCATAATCGTTCACAATTATTAAGTTGATATGCTTTATTTCGAGTGTATATCAATGTGCAAATTATTTAACAATTTACAATAATTAGTATGCTAGCGCTTTGCTATCATCGTTAATTTTTAAAAACGGCATGAAAAACGTACTGATTTGTGCAATGATTTTTTTTCATACTGATATGAAAACATTTAGTTGTAGATGATTTCAATTAGCTTTACAGCAATAACTGTTGAAACTCATCACATTGCAAAAATTTTTTTTCTTAAAATAATCCTTGCTAATTTTTTAGTAATTCTGATCATGTTACAAATAATACATATGTACAGAAGAAATGTGATCAATTGTGATGTCCTATAGAATAAACATTGTAGGGATAGGTGAAACGATACAAGTTTTTTCTTACTCAAATTGTTTCTAAAATAAATGAGTAAATAATTTACATATAATATTTTTATGAGGCTGTTTTTATTAATTCCAATTTTCTGGAACTTGAAGTGCCACTATTGCATCCAAAAACAAAACTCTTAGGTGCAATCATTGCAATATTAATTAATAAACTTAATAAAAGAAGAAAACATAAATGTGTTCTATATGATGATATATTATGCTTTTCTTATAATTAAATGTCATCTGCAATTGATTAATATTGTAATAAGGAAATATTTATAAATAAAAATTTAAATTTATAATTTTATCAAGTGTAATTTACTTTATTTCATTTTTTATTGTAAATATATTTACAAAAATTTGAATTATTTTATTATTCCTTTCTTGTTGAACTTAAGTGAGGGTAATTCCATCCACTTTAACTGTTGGGTGGTCGCATCTTCCGTTTACAACAATTTGAGTGGATGCAAGGTACGAAGTTACCCCAGCACATTTTTTTATATTTTTAAACAATTATCGTTCTGTAGGTTAATTGATAACAAAACGTATAGGAAACGAATGGCACACATGAACAGAGGGGTTTTTCTTCTAATGCAGTGGTATTTCCCTAATCCGAACTTTGATACTAGGAACATAACATTAATCTTAACTGTACAAAAATTCAAGAATTCAGATTTTTAAAGGAAACAGTCGAAACATTATTTGGGGTGGAGAGAGTGAGAGAGGATAAATGAGTGAGGGAGACTATGTGAAAGAGAAAAAGAAAAGAGAGTGAGGGTATGAGGGAAAGTGATTGAGAGATGGTAAGAGAGAGAACGAGTGAGTGTGTGTGAGGGAGAGAGGGAATGAACCCATTTTGAAATCAAAATGAACCGTAAATTCTAAAATGAGCAATATATAATACAAACAATATATAATACAATCAAACATTTATTATTCAAATATTCTGTCAATAGTCTGTCATTGAATTCTTGTTAGTATTTTTAATAAGAGTGACCAAGTGTAAATTTGAAGCAGAAGGTTGAGTTCAATGTATAATACAATATAGAAAGATAATGACACGGTATTTTGCAGGTTACTATGTATATACTGAATCTTTCCTGGTCTACGATTTTAAATTTGTGTAAATTTTTCCAAAGAGGTGAATTTGAAGCATGACAAGAACCCAGCGGAAGGTTGAGTTCAATGGATAATACAAAATAATAAGATAATGACACGGTATTTTGTAGGTCAACTATGTATATACTGAATCTTTCCTGGTCTACGATTTTAAATTTGTGTAAATTTTTCCAAAGAGGTGAATTTGAAGCATGACAAGGACCCAGCAGAAGGTTGGAGCTAAATGCATATTACAAAATATAAAGATAATTATTTATTTAGAAATCGTGAGATGCGGTCGGGTGTGATGTAGGTTTAAGAACATTTTCTTTATCATGCAAACGTTTCGATCTTTATTGAGATCATCTTCAGGGCCTGGGATTTGCAAACATTGTTTACATTTAACGAATACATGTAGGATGTGGAAAAAAGTTATACAATTCAAAATATATTTTTTTAATATTTATTCAAAGTATTTCTACTCACTCAAAGTGTTTGTCTTCTGTGTAATTTTGCCTTTCTTGCCGTATTGAGAGTGCCAATGTGATATTACTGTTTTGTGTTTATATATGTTGGATTTTGAAGGGGTGGGGAAGGAAGTCGGTATAGAAAAGACATTTTTGTATAAGGCGTCGGCTTCTTTGTGGTGAAACGAGCCAAGGAAGGGAAAAACGTTGGTAATGGTTCGGCCAGATTATCCTTTCAGGATTATATCGAAAGGGATAAATAGGAAAAGAAAAGCTAACTTGTTGAAAAATTAGACTATGTGAAAAATGTTTGATGTGTGGAATGTGATATGATGATATATGTATGTTATCTATACTGAGTTTGATTAATGATATTGGCGTAGCTGCGACTGAGTTTACATGTATCTGTTCTGTAATTGACGCTGTGTTTATCTCTGCTGATGTAAACTATTTCTAAAAAATTACGTTTATGTTTGTTTTGTTCTGTAATATTTTTGGATTTTCTCACGATTTCTGAATAATTATCGATTAACGGTCACTAATCACCACACAAGAAACAAAAGTATTTTATGGTGGTAAATCAGCTGTCAAAATTAGCAGACTAAAACCATTGATTTTCCAAATTTCCTTTACATTTGTTTTGTTTCCTTTTTTTATTACCAGTAAATATAGAACCCTAAACAGACATTATCAAATTTTTGTTTTTAGGTTTTGCATCTCTTTATGTAGGTAATTTTTTTTTTTTGCTTTTTATTGTCATCAGTATTTTTGCAATACAAAAGATAAAAACCAGTTAACTTAGTATGTAAATTCTGCAGAACTCTGTTGGGATGTGGTAAACTTTTTATATATATTTTTAATATTTTAATATTTTTCACTAGAGTTTATGGGGCAAAGCAGTGGAATTGCTTAAGAATGATGTAACAACTTTTCTGATGAATGAACTATAATCAGTGTGCGGTGTTTAATAACCGTTAGTTAATGATTATTTACTGCATCTCACGATCTCCAAATAATCACTATAATCGTTATTGGCATTTTCTACGAGCATGACTTCATCATCTTCTACTTGATCTTCATTGGCAAATGGCACTGATCCACTGTCTTGATCATCTTGTATTATTTGATCTGAAAAATCTATGATGAAAAATGAAACCATCATCCAATTCACCTGTGGGTTGTTGAAGGGTATCGGAAGATTTTTTCATATTTGTTATACAAATTTTTAGACTTAAAAGTAAAATAAATAAAGAAATAAATAAAATAAAAATGACATTGTAGCTATAACGAAAGAAAGATTTAAGAACTATTTACACAATTATAATACACAAAATAAAAAAGATTTTTATAAGTAAATTAGGAGACACGAGTGATACGCAGTTCCAAAAACACAATTGCTCTCTTTAATGGCTCTGTAGTAACTGGAATAAAGTTAAGTAAAAAATAGTACTTGTTGCTCCCAATCCTTTAAAATGTAGAGAACAAATACTAACTAGCACATCAGAACCAAAATTCAAACAAAAATACAATCAAAAAATAAATTGCGAAATATAATACCGCTACGCGCTTGCTGCAGAGTTAACAGTACAAAGCAAAATGTTTAAAAGCTTACTTTTCTAAAAATACAAACAGCAAAACCAAACTGGTTGAAAATAGACCAAATTGAATTGCAATAGTCTTTTTATGTCCAAATCTTTGTATCACACATATTGTACATATATATTATGCAGGGTGGGCGACCAAGACCCGAGGGGTTAAATGCCTGGGTAGACTCGTATCCCATCCCTAAAAGGACCGGGACTTGGTCGGCTCACGTGTCCTGCATAAACCTCTTGGACCTGTTCACAAACCCCAAGATTTTGGACCATTTTATCTTGGGGAGCGATTTGGCAATGTCCTCTCCTTCGAAAGTTTCAAATCTATTCCTGGCATACCTATCACATTCTGTGAGGTAGTGCCGTGCCGTTTCTTCTTTTATTTCACAGAAGCGGCAAAAGGGGTCTGGTAAAATACCCATTATGAAGAGGTGTCTTCTCAAGGGGCAATGGCCGATACCTATCAGCCTCCTAATTCCCCTCCTTGAGTTAGAGAATAGCCATTTCGATTCTTTTGGTTTGATTTCCTTCATAAACTCCTTCGATTGCCTATGTCCGGGGGACAGATTCCATTCTTTAAGGAATTGTTTCACGCTCCAGCAATTAATACTCTCTTTCGCTGTGCTTATAGAGTGGGGTAATACCGGTTGTGGCCCGACAAACACAGTATTTGAGCCTTCTTTGGCCAGGCCATCCGCCTCTTCATTGCCATAGTGTCCCTTATGAGCTGGTATCCATATGAGGGTTACCCTATTCTCGTACCTGGTAGTAATCCTATTAATAAGTTCAACAGTTTCCTCCACCAGTCTAGATGACATATTGTACATAGAATGCCTGTAAATGAGAAATTTAATTTAAAAAAATATATAATTTATGCAAATTTTACTGTAGATGAGTGGTTTTACCAGGAAACTCTGCAAATGTTGTCCAAAGAATCCATATAATCTTGGGTATTTAACTGAACACATTCTGCGGAGCAGTTATCACCTGGAGAAGTCCACAGAACAAAGCTCCTTTTATAGTGCATGTTCCATGCTGAAATGAGTTCAGTAGTCATTAAGACAACTCCATAATAACAGAATGAACATGACTCCTAAAAATAATCTATAATTAATTCAATGATATTTAATTTTCGGTCTTTTATAATACCATATAAGCCAGAGAAGAAAAGAAGTCAGCCGTAGATGGGGAAGAAGTAGATCTTTTATTTTTCCTTTAGATCCGTTGCTATTATCTTCCATAACGAGTCTTCCCAATAACATCGGTTTGTTATTTTCTGAAGATATCTGTCTTAACGTTTGCAATGCCTTTTCCGGGCAGTCAGATGCAAGCTGATACTTGGCACTCTCTGGCAACCACTAGTCACATAAATTAAATAGATTTTCTTATCCCAATCTTTCAACAATTTTAATCATGAAAACATACCGGGCTGATGCAAGCGAAAGCTAAGATAGGAGCTGTCGACAATGCTAGAAGCCATTGCCAACCCAATGTAGGCATTACAAGAAGCGCCATCACAACTTCAAAACAAGCTCCCAAAGCCCAGAAACACTAAATGTCGTAAAAATAACTTCATTATAAATATATAAAAATATAATACATGTAACAATGCTAACATCAAGTAAAACCACGCGTTTAGCTCATTGTTTGGATGGCAGATATTCAGCGTACAGAGTGACTCTGAAATGTTTAAAAAATATGTAAAAAAAAGACTATATATATTTTCAATTTATACTACTTACGACTGAGGTACGCATCCTATTGCAAAGCCAACGACTCCTCTAAGAATAAGTATCCTGACAAATGTTGGAGCAAAAGAGCTCATAAAACCATAATAAGGTAAAAGAAAAGCACAAAACGTCAATGCCTATAAAATACACAATTTTTTTGTTATATTTTAAAAACTATATGAAATCAAGAGAAATTTACCTTTTTTCTACCGTACTTTTTGCTTATGTGCTCCCAAAATGTCGTACTTATCATCATTCCTAAGAAGACAACCTTTGGATTTAAACATTAAAAGAATACAACAGAAACAAGAAAAAATAGAGAGAATTATTTTACTTCTAGCAAAAAAATGAGACATGCTAATTTTATTGTTACAATCTTCTTTTTTATTAATCCTCTTCTTTTTCTCCATTTATGATTATGACCTTATCATAGAAAGTATGCTTTTTCCCACTAAGTAAGTACTTTCCTTGGTGCCACTTCATTCACTTTTCTTGGTTTGAGAATTATCCCACCAAAGAAGCCATATTTTCTAGAGGGGTCAGTAATAAGGCTTGGATTTTATAATTTTGTTGTAATTTCCCACATCTTGCTTGCCACAAGAGTTCCTTTGCCTTCCTTTTTGAGATATTTATAGATCTCTTAACTCACCTCATACTTGTGCTTTTGGCCAGTGCTTCATTGTTGTTCCCATGGATGAAAGGGCTTCCACTTCTTTGACTAGGTGGTCAGGTATGCCTGCAATACCTTTATGTCCTGGAACTTCAAGGCAACTTTGTTGTTTTCTTAGGATCATTAGGCAATTTAGGCATTCCCAAACTAGTTTAGTGCTAAAAGCATATGGATTTAGTGCTATTACAGCTGCCTCACTGTCCAAAAATATGTCAATATGCACATCTTTAATTTCAAAAAAAAAAAAAAAAAAAAAAAAAAAAAAAAAAAAAACAGGTTGCCTTTCTTCTAAAGGCCTCTGTTATGTTAAGAGATGCTAGTCTTTGTTGAATTTGTAGTTTCTTTTGTGCCTCCTTATGCAGTGTTTTCCCAGAGCTACTTATGTGAGCAGGGGTCTGACTTGTGTTTAACCAAAATATGCCATCCTGGAGTTTATTTCCCAGTTTTTGCCTTATGCTCAGTAGTGTTTGTCCCTTAAGTAGTATGTTTACCTGTATGGCTTGTCCACTTGAGCCTACACTGAGGTAAAGTGTTATATGTAAGTACATATTCTTTGGTGAAGGCTATGGCTTCATCTTTTGGAGTGGGTGCTTTTAGGTCTAGTAAGTCTAGGGCGGGAATAACTATGACTATCTTTTAGAGACCTGAAGTATTATAGAGGTCAGAAGTGAGAGAGTCCAATGGTGAAGAATGGGTCGAGATGAGAATATATCATCTTTGAAGACTTAGCCTCTCTCGATCAAGACAACCCCACCTCCTCGCGGTTCCGCCGGCTTACCGCCGTGCTTTCTTTTTTTCCGGTCTTGAAAGGTATACATGGCTTGACCGGATGGAGGATTGTGCGAGTTGGTATAACTAACGGGGCAATGTCACCGCCTTGGCGGATGTATTGGTGAGGTTGGATACTGGCAATATCGCTATGTGAAAAATTTAGGTAAGTACATGAGCGATACAGACGATCCAGCTGCGCAAGATAATATCGGCTTTGATGTCTCACCTGACTTGACGAAGGTGGTCTGCCTGGTGCCTCAGCCTTGTCGGATAGTCTGCCCGCTTTGCGGGTCGATGTGTACGAGTGTAGGCGAGGCATCGGGAGGCCTGACCAAACATTTCAAGAGATCCCATCCGACGGTTGAGCTCTGCTTCAACTGTGCTAGGTGTGGGGCAGGGTTCGGCAGGTCGCATGCGGCCTCCTGCCACCTGAGTTGTTGCCCGGGGCCGGTTGTGTAAGGTCCCTCCGATGTTGTCCAGAGGGAATTCCCCTGTACCAACTGCCCTCGGTGCTTTACGACGAAGGCTGGACGGTCCATCCATTTGAAAAAGTGCCTCTCACTGACAGAGAGCATCCCGCAGATGAGGGATTAGACTTGGTGGAGCCGGTGCTTGCGCACGTACCTCCACCAGAGACAACGTCGCCCGCGCAACCGGTCCAGGAACCGCGCGCCGGCAGATCGTCGTTGACCGACCAGAGGGACGTAGAGGCGGTTATGTGGGCAGCGTCCACATGTAATGGGGTTCTGAAGGGGGAGCTCCCCCCGACAGAGCCCATAATTGATAAGGTAGTCGAAGCCCTCTCAGGCGCGGCAATAAGCCGCAGACCGCCTTGCCGTGAGACCCGTAGAGGCCGCACGGGCAGGGTGGCGAGAGGGCGAGGGGCACGACTGAAGAAAGAATACGCTGCCACACAGAATATGTACAAACATTGTCCCCGGAAGCTAGTCACGTTGATAGAAGACGGCGACCTGCAAAGGCTCGCGGGAAATGGGCTGGAAGAAATGAACAGGCCCCCGGAGTCAGTAGCGTCGTTCTTTGAACGATTGTGGAACACCGGAGGGTCCGACGACGCGTACGAAGTGGTTGGCGACACCTCTCAGAGCTTTGCATTCGCATGCATAAGCGCGAAGGAGGTGCACGCGGCCATGATGCGCGTCGGCAAGAAGAAAAGCGCGGGTACGGATGGGATCATTTTGGGCTCTACCCCCGCAAGTGGCTAGGAAACAGGACCGTATTGAAGCTGGGTAGGGATCCAACTAGTCCTAGCGCATGGAGACCCATAACCATTGCCCCTATGATGGCTCGGCTGTGCTATATATCTGCTAAAAAGAATATCGTGGGTGGTAAACCTTGATGTCAGGCAAAAGGGCTTCATCCCGATAAACGGGACATTCGAGAACAGGGAAGCATACGCAATGGAGGCCGTCGGGATGGACTGGTATTGGCGCAACTAGATGTGGAGAAGGCATTCGATACCGTTCCACATCTAGAAATTAAGGAAGCCCTTCCAAGAATTGGTTGCCCGAACGAACTAGTGAGATCAGTCGTGCTGTCGTATAGGGGATCGACGACCACAATCCCCACATCGGGGAGCGTGAAGAGGATTCCCAACGTCAGGGGGATTAGGCTGTTCAACCTGGTGATGGATCGTTTGATTAAAGACCTGCAATCGGCGGCAGGTCACGGAATTGACGATGCGCCCTCCGGCGTGATTGCGAGCACGCCTGCGGGGGCGCAAAATCACATTGATCAAAATCTAAAAAACCCTTAAATATCTTTTTTTTTCAATTTTTCGAATCTGAAGCCTTTTTCAAATTTGGTCAAAATATCCACAAAACCTTTACAAAACTAAGGAAATATCAAAATCTAAAAAATATCTTTTTTTTCGATTTTCGAATTTGAAGCCTCGATTGAGTCGAGAGTTGCGAGTTAGCGAATATGGCCTGTCATTACGTCAAACTGATTTCGTGTATCAATCTTGTTAAAATTTGGTCAAAATATCCACAAAACCTTTACAAAACTAAGGAAATATCAAAATCTAAAAAATATCTTTTTTTCGATTTTTCGAATTTGAAGCCTCGATTGAGTCGAGAGTTGCGAGTTAGCGAATATGGCCTGTCATGACGTCAAATTGATTTCGTGTATCAATCTTCTTAAGAATTTGGTCAAAATATCCACAAAACTTCATAAAATTAAGAAAATATCAAAGGTCTAAAAATTCATTTGAAAAGTAACTTTTTTTTAGATTTATCCAAATTGAAGCCGTGGTTGAGTCGAGAGTTGCGAGTTAGCGACTTTGGCCTGTTGCTACTTCAAATAGATTTCGTGTATCAATCTTGTTAAAATTTGGTCAAAATACCGAGAAAACCTTTAAAAAACTAAGAAAATATCAAAATCTAAAAAATATCTTTTCTTTCGAAATTGAAGACTGGGTTGAGTTAAGTTGAAGCCTCGGTTGAGTCGAAAGTTGCGAGTAAGGAACTTTGGCCTGTTTTTTATATTTTTTTTTCAGGCCGGCTAGCTACCTGGGCTATTGCCGGCACCTCACATTTCTTCCACCTCACGTTTTATAAATTTATTTACTTTTATTTATTTATTTATTTAATTTTTTTAAATTAGCTTTTCTGTAGGAAGTCTGGCGATTTTTCTGGTTGTGTTCTGGGACGTTATTTCTACATTTTTAGCCCTCCCACACGTGGTGAAAAGGCTCTGAAACTATCTCATTTGGCCTGTTGCTATTTCAAATTTATTTCGTGTATCAATCTTCTTAAAATTTGGTCAAAATATCCACAAAAACATTATAAAACTAAGGAAATATCAAAAGTCTAAAAAACATTTGGAAAGTATCTTTTTTTTTATTTATCCAAATTGAAGCCGTGGTTGAGTCGAGAGTTGCGAGTTAGCGACTTTGGCCTGTTGCTACTTCAAATTGATTTCGCCTATCAATCTTGTTACAATTTGGTGAAAATTCCCACAACACCTTTAAAAAACTAAGGAAATATCAAAGGTCTATAAAAAAAATTTTAAAAGTATCTTTTTTTTTTCGATTTATCCAAATTGAAGCCGTGGTTGATTCGAGAGTTGCGAGTTAGCGACTTTGGCCTGTTGCTACTTCAAAATGATTTCGTCTATCAATCTTGTTAAAATTTGGTGAAAATCTCCACAAACACTTTATGAAACTAAGGAAATACCAAAAGTCAAAAAAAAATATTTGAAAAGTATCTTTTTTTTCGATGTATCCAAATTGAAGCCTCGGTTGAGTCGAAAGTTGCGAGTTACCGACTTTTGCCTGTTGCTACTTCAAATTGATTCCTTGTATCAATCATCATAAAATTTGGTCAAAAAATCCAAAAACACTTTATTAAACTAAGGAAATATCATAATTCTTACAAAACATTTGAAAAGTATTTTTTTTAATTTATCCAAATTGAAGCCGTGGTTGAGTCGAGAGTTGCGAGTTAGCGACTTTGGCCTGTTGCTACTTCAAATTGACTCCGTGTATCAATCTTGTTGAAATTTGGTGAAAATTCCCACAACACCTTTAAAACCTAAGGAAATATCAAAGGTCTATAAAAAAATTTTAAAAGTATCTTTTTTTTTCGATTTATCCAAATTGAAGCCGTGGTTGAGTCGAGAGTTGCGACTTAGCGACTTTGACCTCTTGATACTTCAAATTGATTCCCTGTATCAATCTTCATGAAATTTGGTCAA